CCATTCTCCACTCTGCGCCGGCCGGGCGTGGATGGAGGCGCGCAGCTGGCCCGGGCAGTTATTATTTTGGTTGTTGTCTTTGATGTGCCAAAGAAATGATGACATAGAAGCCCGGGGCCTGGCTCGGAGCCAAAAGCTTGTTAGTGATTAGAGAGGGTAAAATGGCCCTGTGGAGTTTCCCACTGTGTGCACGGAGCCCCGAGCGGCCAGCTCTCCCTCCTGGAGCTTCGCGGAGACAGTGAGAGCCCCTGAGCCGGCACCCAGGGAGCTGGGGGTGTGAAAGCGGCAGCAGCAGCTGGTACCGCCTCCCCTTGGAGCCAAGTTAAGTTTTCCAGCCCAGAGGCCCCTCCCGGGGAGCAGTCTCCGTGGGTCTCCATGCCCCAAGTAGGGAGTATATTGAGCTTCCCTACCAGATCCAGGTAGATGAGGTGCAGACTGTCAGACCATGGGCCAGGTACAGCCCAGACATGCTGTGTTGTGCCCTCATGGTATTCTCAGTTTGTATTAGTTTTCAACTAATTTAAAAAATTAGAGGGAGAGGGAGCAGCTGGGGAGAGACTAATGGGGAGAAAAGGAGGCTTATGTAATACTTTAAACAAAGAATTTAAATAAATTAAATAAAAGGAAACTGTAATACAATAAAATAAACTAGAGATTCCACTTAAACATCTAGATTTCTGGATTCTCATAAAAAATTGGAAGGTATGGCAATCCAAGGTCTGCATTCCCACATGTGGCTGGAATTGCAGAATCCTGGCCGGTGTGGACTGAGCAGAGGGCTCTGCCAGTCCCCACCGTTCCCACCTCTCCCTGGGGGACCCCACACTCCGCTTGGTCAGCAGTGGAGTTATGTGGCTGGGGGTGTGGGTCCATTCAGATCCTGGCTGCACCTTTCTGAGCAGTGTGGTCTTGGGAAAATGGCTTAGCCTCTTGGTGGCTCAATGGTCTCAACTGTACAAGGGTGATAATATAACAGCCTACCTCACAGGGCCGAGGTGTGGACTGAAAGAGACTAGAGTCATTCTTGCTAAGCACTCGATAACTGTTGGCTGGTGTTGTTTTCACTATCCTGGTCCCCTTCACCCATTTACATGACCTCTACAGCCTTTTGGGTGTAGACTGAGTTAGATTGGCCTCTGAGGTCACGAGTCTGCTGTCCTCATCTTTCCACTGGCAGCCGTCCTGGTGTTGGGCGCACGGCAGGTGTGCCTGGTGAGCGTGTGTTGAGTGACTGAATGAATGAGTTGGGAGCCTTATAAGAGCAGGAGAGTCAGTATCGCAGAGTGGTTTTTGGCAGGGGCTTGGCTGCTCACACCCCTGCTCTGCCCGGATTAGCTCTCCAGCTTCTGTGTACCTCAGTTTCCTCACCTATAAAATGGGGATAATAAGTGTTTGCCACGCCGGATGGAATGGACGGAGTAGGAGGCTGTACGATCGCTTGGCTTATTTTTCACAAGGGGTCCTCAGCGAGGTGGTGGCGTCACCATTTGACATCCGTTCCTTCTTTTGGCTGTAGAGCCTGAGATGTCTTACTTTCCACACCCGCCCCCTCCCGCTTCCCGCCATTCACAGCGTTTCACTTTTGGAGACGGTAGCAGTCCAGATGCTTTCAGTTGCAAGACAGATAGCCCTACTCAGCTAGCGTAAGCAGCAAAGGGGAGAGATGGCCAGGGGTCAGGGAAATGCCCACATGGAGGGCAGACACTGGCTCTCTCCTCTGGGATTTCCTTGGATCTGCCATCCTCTGAGTGGGCGTCAGCTTTAGGCTAGCTCCTCCAGGGGTCACAGATGGTCATGAACTTGGGCCATGTGCCTGTGCCTGAACCAATTGTGGAATTATGCTGATTGGCTCAGGATTCTTAGGCCCCACACCCCAGAGATGGAACTGTGGTCTGACCTGCCAGAGTGCAGGGCTCATAGCCAGGCAGCCAGTGAGGGGCGTGAGGGTTCTTTCTGACTTGTGCCCGCTGAGATGGCCAGTGCTGCACTGGAGGCTGCTGGTTCCTCCTAGACTGGGCTCCCACAAAGGTCAGCAGAGACACCTGGGGTGTCAGAACAAGCGGGGCACCTTGGGTCAGACGTTATTGATGCCAAATATAGGATCAGGGAGGTTGGTATTAGGGGCTCGGTGAGCAGGGAGGTCAGATCGGTCTTCTGAAGCCAGGGAATAGCCCTCGGCCTCCGACAGGGCCAGTAGCCATTCTTGTGTGTGTGTGTGTGTGTGTGTGTGTGTGTGTACATGCTCTGGACATCGGCACTCCCATGGTCCGAGGCTCCGGGAGGCATTGACTGCCCCAGGGCTGGGGGCTCTGCAGTGACAGGGTGCAGCCGGCACAAGTTGGGGGTGAGGACCTCCCTGCACCCACAGGTGTCCCCAGAGGGAACCATGCAGTGTGAGTGAAGACAGACGGGCTGGCGGGCGTGGAGAGATGGCTCCTGGGGTAACCCCTGCTGTTCGCGTCTGGAGGCTGGAGCTGCAAGAATGTGGGGACACCAGGAACAGGATGCCTCTGACCCTGTGCAGGCACTCTGCCCGGAGTGTGTGCGCATACCTGTGGTTCCCGGACACACAGGACCGGTGGGTTTGGGCGGCAGTCTGCAGGTTGTTGGGTTGCATCCTGGCTCTGTCACCCTTGGCAGAAGAGGATGAATACATGCTGCAAGCACAGCACGCCTTCCGTCTCGCCTGAAGAGGAAAAAGCTCTAGATGAACTGTTCTGTCCTCCACTCGACCCGCAGGCTGTCACGAGCAGGTAGAACGAGACCAGATAGTGCAGCTCGGTGTGAGGCGGGCAGACAGCCCTGAGGTGGTGTTCTCTGATTTATGAATGGTAGTGTTGTCTAGCTGGGCATAGTGGGGGGAAGAAGGGGAAACCTGACCTCCCCCAGCCTGCAGCCAAGTTCAGGGAGTTTATTGAAGAGCTGGAGAACCAGGATTCATAAAAAAAAAAAAAAAAAAAAAAAAAAAAAAAAAAAAAAAAGAACAGCCAACAGTGCAAGGAAGTGGTGTCACTGCCAAGTGAGGGGTCAGCAATGTAAGCTCCCAGGGGCCAGGGAAAAGGTAGCGTGAACTCTGGAGCCTGGGGAGGGGCCGAGTTTGAAAAGTGAATGCAGAGGTAACCAGCTGGGCGGAACTGAGCTGCGAAAGGCTTCAGACTGCAAAGGGCATGGATGCTGGGGGGTTGGTCCTGACCCAGCACATCCCATGCTCCATTTACTGAATTTGTGTGGCACCGGTGAGAGGAATCTGCCTTGGGGGCCTCTTTGTTGGCTTATGTCTGGGGACCTGGGCTTGAGGGGGGAGGCTGTGACATGGTCACTGGGGGCAGGGGGTAGGGGAAAGGGTCAGCTACGAGAACAGAGGCTCTGTTGAGAAAGGGAGCAGGCGTGGGGGTAACCCTGACGTTTAGAGGGGACAGTAGAACTGCCCAGAGGGGGCCACGTGGGGTTTGGGCTGGCAGCACTCACACTTGGGGGTCAGCGATGCAGGGCTTAGCTGGGCTTAGCTGGGGTGGGATTGTGGCGGGGACAGAATTGGTGGGGAAGAGAAGGTTGGGTGTGGGTGCCAGGGGGCTCTGGTTGGGAGGAGAGAATGGTTGGAGGGCTTCAGGCTGAGGCCACAGGCTAGGGCTGCAGAGAGCTCAGGTGCTGGGGCGACCCCTCTGCGGGAGGGCGGGGAGCCAGGGCCCCTCTCCACGGAGCCGCCTCGGCATTGTCCCAATAAGGGCCGCCATTGTCCTAATCAGTAGCGCGGGGCTGCCTTCAGCTGGGCCTGTTTCCTCCCCTCTAGTGTTGTGGGCAGGATGGCAGGATGAGGCTCAGACCCACTGCCCTATCCGGTCTTGTTCTTTCTAGCGGGCAGTCGGGGCAGGGCGGCTGGGAATGGAGGAGGCACGTTTCTGCCCACAATGGAGCTGTCTGGGGCCTGTCCTCCGAGGGGCCAAACCCAGGAAGGCTGAGCCTGGGCATTTCCCCTCGGAAGACAGCATTTTACCCCCATTCGCAGGGGAGCCATGCACGCTGGAGTCTGACCTTGACCCTCTGCTGTGGGTGGTGGTGATTTCTTCTTATTGTGCTGTGGGCCAGCTCTGGTGGCCCCAGGCTACTTGGGACCTGCCGCCTGCCTCTCTGCTAAGGCCCGGTCTCCCCGTTCTCATCCGAATCCTTTCCTCATCAGCCAGAAGTGAGGTGGGGGTGAGAGGGTGGGTGGCATGAACCAGAGCCTGAGGGTCCCCAGAGAAGGGAGGAGGAGGAGGCCTCAGAGCCGTGATGCCTTGGAGACTGGCTCTGAGGTCCAGGGGTGGGTCCGAGGGAGCACCACTCCTTTAGCCGGGCCCATGTGTGCCCTCCACACTTGGGTGCATGAGGAGCAAGGGGTGCACGTAGAGGGCCCTGCGTGGAGCTGGAGTGAGGGTTAGAGCCAGGCCTGCCTCTGCTTGAGTCCTTCTTGAGTAGGAGGGTCTAGAAGGTCTGGGAGGGGACTCCCAAGAACATAATCCTCTTCAGTCTTGGCCTCTTAAAATCTTTATTTATGATTCAGGGGCCTCCTGGGGCCTCCTTCTGGGCAGGAGGAGGCTGAGCCCTCAGAAGTAGCAGCTAGGAGATGCCCCAGGCCCCAGCATCCCTTGCCAGCCCAGGTGGGTGGGTCTGAGGGCCTTTTCCGAGATGGGTTCAGGGGCCTGGAGGGCTCCCGCTGTGGGAACCTGGCCTGGAAGGGGAGCTCTGGAAGTGGGACCTGCCGCCTGCCTCTCTGCTAAGGCCCGGCCTCCCCGTTCTCATCCGAATCCTTTCCTCATCAGCCAGAGGTGAGGTGGGGTGAGAGGCTGGCGTGAACCAGAGCCTGAGGGTCCCCAGAGAACCCCGCTGAGGAGTTGGAATACTTGTGTTGTGTCCTGAGGCTTGCTGAGAATTCAGATGGGGGTTTTGCTCAGGTTGATCCTCGCCCAGCCTGTCCCGCCTTCCCCCCGCGGGCTCACCGCCTCGCCCTGTTTCTCTCTGAGCAGAACGCGGAGCCGGAGCCCCGGAGCCTCTCCCTGGGCGGCCACGTGGGCTTCGACAGCCTCCCCGACCAGCTGGTCAGCAAGTCGGTCTCTCAGGGCTTCAGCTTCAACATCCTCTGTGTGGGTAAGTGTGTCACGGCCTGGCCAGGGGCAGCCTCAGGCGGGAGGCAGGGGAGGGCCTTCTGGGAGGTGGGCGCTGCTGCCCTGGCCCCCTGTCGAGCTGCATAGGGACCTCCCAGGCAGAGCCACACGCTGGGGGTTCAGCATGGGGTTTTGGTTGGTGCCTCTGCCAGAATCAGGGATAGAGTCGGAGCCCAGGCCTGTCTCAGAGTTAGTTGCCTTGAGGAGTAAACGGGATCCGGCACGTGAAGGTGGAGATTTAGGTGGTTTGTTTACTTAAAACACGTGGACTGTTGTTCCTACTATGTGTCTAGGATGCTATGGCGAGCAAGTCTCCCCCCGTTCCCAGCACCACGTACTGAGCGCTCCCGCACACACCTGAACCCGTTCAGCCCCCAACTGGGAGGCTCTGGGGGGGCCGTGCACCTCGGGGCCGGGGCCTCCCGGAGGCACAGAGAGTGCGGCCAGATCCCCCACAGGGGCCTGAGCCTTAGCATCTGCGGGGCTGAGGGGCCCTTTGGGAAGCAGCTTCCCTCACCCCCACTTAGACCAGGGTGCCGGTCTCCCGAGCACGGGACCAAGTCTCCTTTGGCTTCAGACCAGGCCCTGTGGCCCCGGACCGTCCCGGCTCTGGGAGGGACGGCATGCCGAGCGGGTGATCGGGTCCCATCGAGGCCAGCCCAGGGCAGAGTCAGGCGGCGTCACAGCTGCCAGGCTCTGCCTCTTCGCCCTCCCTGAGGGACCATCGTACACGTTCCCCATAGCGCCATCTCATGTCCAAGCCAGCCTTATGTCTCTTTCTTCCACACGTTATTTCTAATATATTTTTATTGATTTTTTACAGAGAGGAAGAGAGTGGGATAGAGAGTTAGAAACATTGATGAGAGAGAATCATCGACCTGCTGCCTCTTGCACACCCCCCACTGGGGATGTGCCCGCAACCAATGTACCCACCCTTGACCGGAATCGAACCCGGGACCTTTCAGTCTGTAGACCGACGCTCTATCCACTGAGCCAAACCAGTTTCGGCCAAACATTATTTATTTATTTTTTTTTTACAGTGTAAAATTTTTATATTTAGAATTAGGCAGCTGGACTCAGTTTAGATGATTCCAATTTTGTTGGCAACATCCAAGCATCATAGTCAGGAGCCAGTCGAACATATGCCTTCTTCTCGCCATCAGGCCTGATCAGGGTGTTGACCTTGGCCACATCAATGTCATAGAGCTTCTTCACAGCCTGTTTGATCTGGTGCTCGTTGGCCTTGACATCCACAATGAACACAAGTGCATTATTGTCTTCTGTCTTCTTCATGGCTGACTCGGTAGTCAGGGGGAACTTGATGATGGCATAGTGGTCAAGCTTGTTTCTCCTGGGTGCGCTCCGAGGATATTTAGGTTGCCTCCGGAGCCTTAGTGTCTTTGGCCGTCGGAAGGTGGGTGACGTGATGATCTTTTTTTTGTGGCTGTGGACGCCTTTCAACACTGCTTTCTTTGCCTTCAAAGCCTTTGCTTTGGCTTCGGCTTTGGGAGGGGCAGGGGCTTCCTTCTTCGCTTTCGGCGCCATCTTCATGAAAAGGGTTTTCCCAAACATTATTTCCGAGGCCACGGAGAAGGGATGGCTCCTGGGGACAGCGACAGTGAGGGGTGCAGCGGGAGGCTAGCCCCTCTCTCTTCTGCGGAAGCTGAGGATGCCTGAGCCCCACCCGGCCTAGCCAACAGCCAGGGACAGCCCCGGGTCCGGCCTCTGACACCCCTTCCCCTCCACTGCCCGCTGCCAGGGGAGACCGGCATCGGCAAGTCCACGCTGATGAACACGCTCTTCAACACGACCTTCGAGACCGAGGAGGCCAGTCACCACGCGGAGTGCGTGCGCCTGCGGCCCCAGACCTACGACCTCCAAGAGAGCAACGTGCACCTCAAGCTGACCATCGTGGATGCCGTGGGCTTCGGGGATCAGATCAATAAGGACGAGAGGCAAGAGGCGGGAAGGGCGGCCCCGCCCAGCCCCATCCCCTGCCCCACCCTGCGTGGCCGCCCTGGCCCTAACCCTCTGCCCGCGCACTGCCAGCTGCCTGCCCGCTGCCGTCTGCCCCCAGATGAACAGCCAAGCCCCGCCCTCCGCGGGGCCCGGGGGAGGGCCTGGCAGGGAGCCTTGGAGCAGGGGCCCAGGCCGAGATCCTCGCCCCGCGGGGAGGCGCACTGCCTGCCTCCCAGGTGACGGAGCTGTCTGTAGTTACAGGCCCATCGTCGACTACATCGATGCGCAGTTTGAAAATTACCTGCAGGAGGAGCTGAAGATCCGCCGCTCGCTCTTCGACTACCACGACACCAGGATCCACGTGTGCCTCTACTTCATCACGCCCACCGGCCACTCCCTCAAGTCCCTGGACCTGGTGACCATGAAGAAACTAGACAGCAAGGTGAGCCTCACCACGGGCCCCCGCCCCCCTGTGTTCCGGGGGCTCCGCAGTCCTCCCGGGGCGGGTGTGCTGGCTGCCGCGGGGCTGTCCATTACCGTCCCCAGGGGCGCTGCGGTTTGGAGGCTGGCAGAAGATGGCCCCCTTGACCCGGTCCTCTCTCTTTGCTCTTTGTCCCCGTGGGCACACCCTGCTTTTTTTGTTTTTCCTCCAGAGCTCTGTCCCTCTGAGTCTGGCCTTCAGCCCCTTCCTTCCAGCTGAATTCCTTTTTTTTTCCCCTTCAAATTTAAATTCTTTATCGTTGAAAGCATTACATATGTCTCCTTTCCCCATTGACCTCTCCCCACCTGCTTCCTGCCCCCCAGCACAGGCCCTCACCCACCTACTGTGTGTGTCCGTTGGTTATGCTTAATGCTGGCTGAATTCCCATTCTCTGCCTGCTGGCTCCTGGCCCCCTCTCCCCAGAACGCCCCGATTCTCTGCTCATTTTCTCTCTCTCTCAGTTCCTAGTTCCCCTGTCTTTCCTGCCATGGATTTCCCTTGGGCCTGCTGAGCCCACTCGGGAGAGGAGAGTTAAGGCCCAGAACTGAGTGAGGACTGAGAGGGCAGCTTCATGGGGACGATGGCAAGGGCTTGGGGCCCTCGAAGGCGGGCACTGTCAGCGACATGACTGCCTCCCATCCCAGGAGCTCATTTTCACGGTGAAAATGGGATATCCTAGCCCGGGGATTTGGGGTCTTCCTGTGGCTGCTGCAGATGGGTCCTCTGACCTACTGAGGTGGGGGCTCAGCCCGCCATCGCTGCTTGTACCATGTCCCAGGCCCGTTAAGACCTTCGGAGAACTCTGGGTCAAAGCTGAGTGTGCCCAGGAGACTAATTTGGGGGTGGGTTTGGGGGAAGAGGGGTTCTCAGAAGTGCTGCTACAACCCATCAGTATGAGCCCGGGGGCTGGGTGCAGGCCGGCCTCCCCATGGAGTAGCTCTGTCTCTCTTGCTTCCTGCCCTTTGCCCAGGGTTGTGGTGTGGGCAGGGCTGTCCACAGTCAGGGAATAACCATCGATAACGTGCTGCCCCCTCTCCCCTGGTCCTGGCAGGTTAACATCATTCCCATCATTGCCAAGGCTGACACCATCTCCAAGAGTGAGCTCCACAAGTTCAAGATCAAGATCATGGGCGAGCTGGTCAGCAACGGGGTCCAGATCTACCAGTTTCCCACTGATGACGAGGCCGTGGCAGAGATTAATGCGGTCATGAATGTGAGTGTTGGGCGAGGGCCAGAGGGCTTGCAGGCAGCACGGATCTCTGGCTCAGCCCTGGGGGACTTACTCCCCGGGAGCGGTGGGTGGGCATCTGGGAGCCGGCCAAGTCCTACGTCCTGTGGACAAGGGACGGGAGGAATGGGGCGTTGGGCTGGCACCGGGGCTTCCCCAGAGTTGAGTTTCACAAGATCCGGAGTCAGGGCGGGGACCTGAAACCCGTGGGAGGGAGCAGGCGGGATGCCAGGGCTGGGAACGTCAGGAAGAGCAAAGGCACAGGTGCTCTGAGGGAGCTTCTCGTGGCCCCGGGGAGCCCCCGGGCTGAGAACACCTGAGGACACGAGGACGGAGGCTGGTGGGGTCAGCCCGTTCCCTTGTTTGGAGGTCCCAGGCTACTTATAACAAAAGAGAGCAGGGCCGAGACCGGTTTGGCTCAGTGGATAGAGCGTCGGCTTGGGGACTGAAGGGACCCGGGTTCGATTCCGGTCAAGGGCATGTACCTTGGTTGCGGGCATATCCCCAGTAGGGGGTGTGCAAGAGGCAGCTGATCGATGACTCTCTCATCGATGTTTCTAGCTCTTTATCTCTCTCCCTTCCTCTCTGTACAAAATCAATAAAATATATTTTAAAAAAAGAAAAAGAAAAAAAGAGAGCAGGAACGTGAGCAGCTGCCAGACCTTGCTCAGCCCTGGGCTCCCCTGTCCTTGGGTCCCTCTCCAGGCACACCTGCCCTTCGCCGTGGTGGGCAGCACCGAGGAGGTGAAGGTGGGGAACAAGCTGGTCCGAGCGCGGCAGTACCCGTGGGGAGTGGTGCAGGGTGAGTGTTGCGGGGGTGAAGGTGGGGAGAGCACATCCCCAGCTGGGGGATCAGACTTAGCCCCCGGTCCTGCTTGCTGCCTGTAGCCCCCTCCCTGGGCCCTCCCTGTGATCCCCCGGTGCCCGTCCTGCCCCCGGAGTCTGTTGCTGTCCTGTGCCCTGCCCTCCTGTGCCCGTCCGTGTGCCAGCCTGGTGCCCGTGCGCCCTCTGCCTGCAGTGGAGAACGAGAACCACTGCGACTTTGTGAAGCTGCGGGAGATGCTGATCCGGGTGAACATGGAGGACCTCCGCGAGCAGACCCACAGCCGGCACTACGAGCTGTACCGGCGCTGCAAGCTGGAGGAGATGGGCTTCCAGGACAGCGACGGGGACAGCCAGCCCTTCAGGTGATGCCCGGACAGGGAGCGGACCCGCCTTCCGCGCCCCGGCCATGCTCGCCAGCTCGCCACGCTGGCACCCGCCTCTGGGGTCACGTGAGCCAGGGAGAGAGGCCGTCGGGACCCAGCCTCCTCTTGCCCCCAGGGCTCCCATGATTCGGCTTCTCAGGCTCTGCTGACTCGATCCCGCTATAATCCCACCCTTGGTCTCTTCTCTCTGGGTCTCCACAGCCTGCAGGAGACCTACGAGGCCAAGAGGAAGGAGTTCCTGAGTGAGCTGCAGAGGAAGGAGGAGGAGATGAGGCAGATGTTCGTCAACAAAGTGAAGGAGACGGAGCTGGAGCTGAAGGAAAAGGAAAGGGAGGTGCGTGCTGGGCCGGGGTTCTGGGGTGAGGCCTGGCTGGCTGGGTGGGCGGCCGGAGGAAGCCCGACGCCCTGCTTCTGCTCCAGCTCCACGAGAAGTTCGAGCACCTCAAGCGGATCCACCAGGAGGAGAAGCGCAAGGTGGAGGAGAAGCGCCGGGAGCTGGAGGAGGAGACCAACGCCTTCAACCGCAGGAAAGCGGCCGTGGAGGCCCTGCAGGCCCAGGCCCTGCACACCACCCTGCAGCAGCCACTGAGGAAGGACAAGGACAAGAAGAAGTAGGTGTGGGCCCCCCCGCGCTGCGCTGGCTCCCGCTCCGCCCCTCCCTCGGCTCCCTCACGCTGACTTTCGTTCTCGCTCACTCTGGCTTGTTTTACCATTTTCCTCTCATTTTCAGTTGCCCTTTCACCTCCTTCTTGCTCACCTTTCTTTTCCACTAGTGATCTTGATGTCTCAAGATATCAAGTATTGGTGCACTCTTGCACAGATGTCTCCCCCCCCCCCCCCCCTCTCTCTCTCTCTCCTTTCTTCCCTCCCTCTCTCCCTCCCTCCCTCATTTTCCTGCAGCCTCCACAGAGCTGGGTGGTGAAGGCGGGGCCGCACAGGCAGGGGTGGCCCCGGAGAGTGTGTAGCGGTCTCAGGGCAGGTCTTCCCGGCCAGAAGACAGGGCCTGGGAAGGTCAGCATTTCCTGACGGATTCCAAAGCTCCTGTGGTTTCTGCTTGGACAGCTGTGGTGCTTCCCCCTCCCCCCATCCCTGTCCCTGAGGCAGTGGATGTGGGATCCCTGCTGGCTGGCAGGTGGTGACCAGAGCAGCCAGCACCAACCCCTCAGAACCCCGGACCAGATGATCGCCCCCTGGAACCAGATGATCGCCCCCTGGCGGAAGGAGGGACAGCAGCTCCCGGGTTGGGGAGGGGCCGCCCCTGGGGGCGGGGGGGGAGGGGGGGAGGCTGGAGGTGTTTCTCCTGAGAGTGGACTCAGGAGAGAGAAGCAGGGCGACTTTCCCCACCTCGCTAGGTGGAGGCAATGCAGGTCCCTTTTCCTCGGTATTTTTTTCACATCCTGTTCCACCCTTTCTGCTGGAGTCCAGGTGCTCCTGGGCGTCTCCCTCCCCCACTCACTTCACTCAGCACACTGTGGGGACCTGGCCCATCCCTGCCTCTCCCAGCCCCTGGCCTGTCAGGGGCCTTCCTTCCTTGCCAACCTAGGAGCTAAGCCGGTCCCCGTTTCCTCCTGAAGCGACCGGGAGTGCGTGTCCTGGGCCCTTCCTTCCTCGGTGGCCACGGAGCCATGATGAAGGCCGTGCCGTGCGCAGCTGTGTTACATTCCCCCCCACACACACACAGACGCCCGTGAACACACACACATGTATGTGTACACTGTCTTTCTTCCTGCCCCCTCACATACACAGACTCGGGCACATACCTCCCAGCACACCCCATCCCCATCCCCAGACACACACACACACACACACACACACACACACACGCACAGAGACACACACACAGGCACAGACTCGTCGAAGGAAGTGAGACGGGAAGAGTGTCTCCCTGGGGAGGCCCGGGGGACAAAGCCAGGCATTGAGGAGCTGGGTGCGCGTTCTCATTCCTGAGGCCTGCTCTCTCATCGGAACGGACCCTCCTCCGTTCCACGGTCTGCCCCATCCTGCTGCCTGGTGGTCCCATCCCCACGGCTGGGACCAGGGAGCCCCTGCCCGACACCAGCGGGCGCACAGCCCCGCCCTCCCCTCAGCCACGTGGAGCTCACCTCTCTGCTTCGCTTTTGCTTTTGCTTCCAGCCCTCACTCCCTGTCCAGCTCTCGCTCGGTGAGTGCGGGGGCTCCGTTCATTGGAACCTGTGGGGATCCCAAGCTAGTGGCTCAGAAACCTGTTTTCTCCTGGAAGTGGGGGGGTACACAGGCCTCTGACTCAGGAGCGGACCCCCAAAGTGACTTTGTCCCGCTCCCTGCCAGCGTGGCCCAGGCCACAAAGAAAAGTCAGGCAGAGTCCCCCGAGCAAATAGGCGATGGAGAAGCCACTCAGGAACGAAGAGGACAGGGACCTGTGGCCGGGCCACGGTCTGAGGACCAACGAGTTGGGTGCAGGCTGCCTGCAGGGGCGCCCGCCCAGCTCTCGGGGTGGGGGCTGGACACTGGTGCCAGGTCTCCTTGCTTATCCCGTGTGGCCGGGGCCTGAAAAACAGGTCTTTTCTGTTTACTGGACATGCCAGAAAGCTTCAGTCAGTTTGGCCTCTGGGGGAGAGAGCCTTCCTCCCAGGCTGGCCCTGGGGAGGCCAGGAGCGGTGTAGGGGAACGGGTGAAGCGGGAGTGCTCTGTGGGGGAGGGAGGGGGCAGTGATGACCACTTAGTTAAATGGCTTTGATTGGTTGTTATTTATTCTTAAAATTTTAATCCATATTTTGCAAAATTATTTCCCCAATCAGATCTTGACCCTCAGCCCGGGACACCACACAAACTGAAGCGAATGCTCCTCCGCTTTACTCGTGACAAATTGCCAAACTGACTGCCCTTTCCCAGTGTCCACCTTGCTGTCTTTTGCTTCTTGTTTGATTTTGGCCGTCTGCGTATCTTTTTAATGTGTCTGTTTTTTTTGTTCTGTTTGTTTTATTTTTATTTTTCAGTTAAGCGCACGCACAGACTTACATGTCAAGAGCGGACTGTAGACTGTCATGTGTTAAGTTGCTTGAGTTACACCTTGTGACCCTTCTCCCATAAACATGGTGTGAGGACGGACTGGGAGCCGGTACAGACTCCAGTGTTTACAGCCTTGCTCTGTCCCCGCCCCCGCCCCGGGGCTGTGCCGGGCCTGGCGGGCCACCCCCCTCTCTCTATGCAAACACGACAAAGCCATACGAATGCTGGAATCCCAAACTGATGAGGCTTGTTTTTTTCAGAGCCAGTGGCTGGTCTTCCATTTACAGTGTCACTATCCCTTGACGGAGCAGCCATGTGCCGCGCTGGCGAAGGCCCCGCCGGCCGTGCCCGGCCTAAGGGTTCGGCGTCCGGAGGGCCGCTCACGAGGTGCCTTAGTGCTGCCTAGGTGTGGTGCGGTACTCATGCTGCAAAACGTGTCCGATTCGCCTCGTTTTAATTTTTTCTAACCTAGCGTTTAATTTCAGTAACCGCTTCTAAAGCGCTTCTAAATTTTTATTTTGTCACGAGCGTACAGACAAATAATACCCTCTCCCGTTATTTTCCTACGTAACACAGATTACCCTGATTTTTTAAAGACTAAAAGTATCCCGGCCTTTTTTTTTTTAAAATGTAAAAGGATCCCTATACTACCCCGGGAGAGGTGGCAATAAACATCCTGCAACCACAGTGTTTGGGATTTCTTTACGGAGGAAAGTGGGACACGACCAACACCCACATCCGGAGTGTTCACTGTGAATGTAAATGGAACAGCAGCCCCAAGCCCTTGTCTGTGCCCCTGGGGTGCTACCCGTAAAGCAGGGACCAGCTCCGTGTGTGTGTGTGTGTGTGTGTGTGTTACGTGTTCTTCATTCGGACTAAGACCCCCAAACCAGTCCCGCATGTTCCTGATGCACAAAACGCTCAGCCGGGAAGAGGTTTTTATCTCCAGGTCCTTGTTTCCTTCTTTCCTGGCTGAGTCACAGGGCAAAAGATGAAGGTGTCTGATGTCTGTGGACACTTTAAGGAAAAAACAACAACACACAAACTACCAGCAAAGAGCTTTTTCCTTTCAGCTGCATTCTTACGGGGGTTGTTTTAAGGAAGTACGAGCATCATGGAATTCTTCTGTGCTCCCGTTGGCTGGCAAGCCACCCAGAGGATCGGGGCTGACCACGTGGCCTGGTAAAGCGGGAGACAAAGGAATGAATGAGTGAAGGAAGGGTTTCACTGAATGTAGAGGAAGCCCTGTGCTGGGCACAGGCTCCAGAGTAACACGCAGCGCCTCTCGACCTCACAGCCCAGCGCACTCCCTGGTGGAAGCTTCGGCAGCCGGGCGGATGGATTGGGGGTTGATAGTCTGTTTTCATGTCCTCTTCCTCCCTCCCCCCGCCCCCCAGTGCTGTTTTATTGATTTGCCGGACCATGTCTGGGCTTCCTCCTGCCCTTCTGAGATGGTGCTCCATTCGGAGTGGGGAGGAGGGGTGAGCCGCTGTGAAATGGCCAGAAAAAGGCAGCCTTTTTCCCACGCGCCAGGAGCAGAGCAGGTGCTGTTGATGCTCAAAGTGAACATTCTCCCGGGGTTATGCCATGACCAGGGAGGATGCAGACTTGGAAGGGGTAGGAACTTGAACGATTTGAGAAGCCGCCTTCCAGAAGAACGTGGACATACCATTAGGTGCGGGGCCTTGAGGACTGAGCTCCATTAGCCTCCCAGGACCTCCGCCTCTGGGTGTGATCACGTGGGTATCCAAATAGGCAGTCAGCATATCTGGGCAGATGTGGCTTGTCTTTAAGTCATTATGTGAAAGTATATGAACTTGGGCAGAAGTATGACCTGAAGATAGAGCCTCTGTCCGCTAATGGGTTTCTGAGGATGAGGCTTGATAAGAAAGGAGGTTTTTGTAAGAAAGGAGGACTCCTGGTTTCTGAGCCAATGTGGGGACTCAAGTGGGCAGACTCTGCCCCCCACCCACCACAGCCGGTGAGCCGCTCCCGGGGCATCCTGGAAGGCCAGAATGGTGGCTGGCTCCGGTTGCATTTTCTGGGGTCTGACCTGCCTCCCTAGGTCTCACTAGCGTTGGTGGACCTTACTACACTTCCTTCCCGGTGCTGTTTGTGTTTGGAGTTTTGTCATCATCAGCTGAGACCAATTTAATCCTTGGTGCACAAGGGGAGCTTAACGCTTGCCATGGTTTATTTAACCAGCCGCCCCTCCTGGGATGTGGCCCCAGCCCGCAGAGTCTGCTTCCCCTCCCTTTGTTTCTCAGTGTCATTGATTGGCATTATGTGGGCTGTCAGTGGGGTCGTGCTGGCATTGGCTGTCACGTCTTTCATGAATCAAGTTGGTTTGGGGTAGAATCACCATATAATTTATTGTCCAGACTGAGAGGTTTCCGAGCGAAAGGAGAGGCTGTTAATTATTCCAGCTCAACAGGCATAAGCCAGGCCTGTCTCAGGCAAACCAGGAAGTGTGGTCACCCCAGTTTAGGGAAGCTGGAGCCGAGGTGGTTTGTAATGGTGCAGACTGACGGCATGGATGTGTATATGTCTGTGTGTGGGCTCCCTGTTACACAGGGCTCATGTTACTGGCTAAGAGGCCTGAGGGAAGTGTGGCTCGCTAGTCTGTTACGTTACCATGCTTTTCTAAAACGGCTCCCCTTGTTAATTCATTTACTCCTTCATCCATTGACTGTTTTCGTTCCTTTCCATTCACTTTGTACTTGTTTCCCCCTCCCCCCCATTAAATTTTGCATTTATTTTGAGTTTTTTTTGTGGTGTCTTTTTTGGGCAGTAGCTTTTCTGATTTAACAAGTTTTCTAGCCTGTTAATCTGCTTCCACTGTGGTAAAATGCAGCTTGTCTGTTCTGTGAACTTTGTGGGGTGAATCGACTTCGGTAGGAATTGCAGGGATGATGCAGGACGCGAAGAAGGCAAACTCTGCCCTTGAGGAGTTGACATCCTTGTGGAAGAGGCTTGACGCGGTATAGCTCACACCCGAGTTCCCATGGTGCGCTGCGCATTGCTCTAAAGCCCGTTACATGCATCGATCCCCTCTGCTAGTGAACTTCATACCAATTTTATGATGAAGTACCATCTCCCCCATTTCACACCTAAGCACAGAGAGGTTAATGAATTACCCAAGATCACACAGCTAGTGCCATGGATGTTTTGGGATTTGAATATTAGTAACCTATACCCTTAATTTGTGAGCTGTAGCTGCTCTTTGGCAACCTTCGGAATGCTGGGAGAACAGTGGAAATGCAGCCAGCATGCAAGTGTTCAGTCTGCGTGTGGGTTGATGGGCCTGAGATGGTACTGTAAGGTGGGATGCCGTGATCGGCAGACCAATATTTGGTTAAGAAAGGTAGTCTTTGTGGTTGAAGGAAGTGATGACAAGCTCATGGGTCCATTTGTTGAGTCTTCTCTGTTGGGCACTAGATGAATCTCTGTGAAGGCCAAAACGAGGAGATTGGGACTAAAATCCGGGGAGCTGGCAGTCCAGCAGGGAGACTGGTAGGCAGACACCCCTAGTGAAGGTACAGCTCAACTCTACCCTCGGGAGGCAGGAACAGGAAGGAGAGTCTTCCCCAAGATTTGAATGACAGACTCTCCTGGAAGCCAGGGGAGAAGGCCTTGCTGGCCAAGGGAACAGTATTGTGCAGCTCGGCTCACCCATGAGAGGGAAGAAGTAATTGGACAAGTTTAAGGAAGGTACATGATGCTCCCCAACCCTGCACTTCCCTCAGCCCATCTGAGCCTTCTCCCATCTCCATTTTCTGCAGCCACAGCCCTCTGTGGTGGGGACAAAAGGAAGATGGGTTGTGGCCATATTTCTCCCACCACAATGATCCCCAATCTCTGATCTGAGGTGAGATATGTGTTCCTAATCTAAAAAGAAAAAAAAAGAAAAAAGAAAAGAAAAGAAGGCACTGTTAGAGGAGAATAGGATGGGACCCCAATTCAATATTGAACAGCATCAACATTTTTTTTTAACTTACAAGTGGTACTTAGGCAATACAGAAGTTTGCTTCCCCAAAGAGGAATTTTACTTATATCCCTTAGCCCAATCCTGGGCTTCACACACCTACCTTCTCTTTGGAAATTCAGAGTTGGATTTGCTCTGGGAACTCAGCTCACATCCAGAGCCACCTACCTAAGAGGTCCAGATACCTCCCACCAGCCCCCCCAAAGTCAAAGACAGCCTGGGCTGGTGTGAGCTCTCAGGAGGAGCCCCACGCTGCCCACCATGATGCCCACTGACAGTGGAGGGAAGGAGGCAGAGGATGGTCCTGGCCACTGGTGAGCGCTGTGGCCATGAGCTCCATGCTGCTGTTGGCATCTCCATCTGTGCTGAGGACAATGGCTGACGGGGCCCAAGAGATGGTATTCCGTCTGGGTCTGACTCTAGCGAGTCTAAGTGCATGGTACCCACTTAGATGTAAAATATTCCGACAGGGTTGCAAGGACTTAGTTTATTTTTACAAAAGCTCCAACAAGCAAATTTGTTTTAAGAAAAGGTCAGGATCGGTACTGACTACAGTGCAGACAACAATTGGTTGTTACAGAATATCTGGACCTTGACCACTTTGCACCCAGTAGCAAGTCATACTCCCCACGGCTTCGCACATTTACAAAAAATGTTCACATTGGAAAGGCTTCACAAATCACCTCTAAATGTGTGGCGCAGTCATTCGCATCCCAGCACGACTCACACAGCTCCAGCTGGCATCTCTGCCAGCTGGACTCCGCTGCTTCAAAAATGGCTCTATAGTGTCCCAGCTTCGGAGCGGCAGCTGGTGGCTCCCTCACAGCCATGCTAATCACCTCCTCCTCCTCCTCCACTTCCTCCTCCCGGCAGCACTGAGGTCGGAGAAGGCTCGGCCTTAGAACCCGCTCATCTCAATGAAAGCTCTTGGAGCTGTACCTCCCCATCACAGGGGTCACGCCCTGAAATGCCATTCTGTAGCATAAAAATGTCTCTAGCTATGCCAGTCAACCACTTTGCTTGAGTTAGCAAAGGGGAAATATTCTTAAGGCTTGATCACATTATCGTACATTAAAAAAAACCAGTCCTTATAAAAAGAAGACATAAGTCATGGCCAAATCAGGGTAATTGTATCTGGAGGCTGTCCTGTTTTTGCAGTGGCAGGCAGGCTGGCTGTGCTGCACGTGTTTGCGATAGGCCTGGGAGCTGGAAGCACCTGGCCAGCTCGGGTGTGTGTGTGTGTGTGTGGGGGTGTAGATCAGCAAAACCTGGTCAGCCAAAACCAGCCTGGCCCCTAAAAAAACCAAAACCAAAACAAAAACCCCACAAAACCGGCCCGGCCCTTCAGCCCTGAGCAAGGCCTTCCACTGGCTTCACACTCCAGCTCGCTTGGGGGCTGATACCAGCCCTTGCTGGGAAAGAAAACCAAGCTGCCGCATAAGCCTTCATTCCTTCTCCCTGGGGAAAGAAGGGAGCAGGGTCAGGATCTGCCCTTATCTCTCACGATCCCAACCTTCCCCCCCTTTATTTTCTCTTAAGGACCCAGGAATTTTTTTTCTCAGCTGTTCTTGTAGGGCTTTTCCCCCTTTCTTGTTGCAAAACCCACAGCCTAGAATTTAGAGGCCAATAGAGGAGAGGTTGCTATTGCACTCGGAAGGGCGCCGGGGTAGGAGTGCAGGCTGGCGGGTGAAAGAGAACGTTGCCTGTGCAGGAGGAGGACTAAACACTTCCCAGCTGCTGCTTTGCCAGTATCCCGCAGTGGACAAACTGCTCCATGCTGACCTGCGGTGAAAACAGTGGTCATGTCGGTGCAGAACCACGTCACATTCTAAGGGATGAGCAGTGAGCGTCCAGATGTTGGCATGGAGCAATTTCAGAAAGGGGTCCAGGCACAAAACGCAAGCACGTTAACCTTACCACCCCAGGGACATCCATCTCCAACCCCAGTAAAACCGTAATGAGTCTAACGCTGCATTCCACCCTCCTCTGTCCATCCTGAGAGATTCTGACAGCACCGCCCCACCCCTTCCGCCCTCAGTGCCTGGTATCATCGACTCATATATAGATGGTGAGAGGTCTGAAATTTACACTCACCAGTATTAAGCTCTGGGTTGCTTCCTTCTGAACTGGACATGCCGTGCCCCCCCCCCCCCGTCTCCCCCCCTCCCCCCCGGCTCTAAGGGCTGCCACTGAGATGAAGCTTTCCGCACTGCCAGAGCCCCGGGAGGGGAACATGTACCCCATACTCAAGCCCCGAGGGCATGCCAAGTGTGGGGAGCCTAGCCCTTCGGCAGACTCTTTGCAGAGTCGTCATGGCCAGAGCATCTTGGGCCAAGGGACCAAGGAGGGCCGTGGGTCCCCGTTCGGAGGCAGTGTGGCAGCTCAGGGAGCAGAACGGAGAGCGTGGTCTGGGGGCAGAGTTGATGTGTACCTGTGCTTTCTTTAGCAGATCAGATATAGGAGCACGCCAGTCGGGCATGAGCCTCTCCAGCTCTAAGGTGATGATGACCAAGGCCAGTGTGGAGCCCTTGAACTGCAGCAGCTGGTGGCCCGCCATGCAGTGCTGCAGCTGCCTGGTCAGGGACGCGACGTGGAGGGAAGGATTCCTCTGAGGCAGCAGCTCCACCACGTGGGGCCAGCCCTCGACCACCATGGCGTGGAACTGGAGATTGTGGTTTTTAACGTTAGAGCAGAGAACCCCATACTTTTCATATGTCGACGACCAAAAGTGCAAACAACTTCAATTTTCATCAGGGAACATCGAATGTTGCCCAGTCACTTTCACTTCCGTTCATGGCCCCACCAAGGGGCTCGGGGCTTCATGCCCATTTTGTGGTCACGCTGAGTTCCAACCTTGGAGAGAAAAGGCAGTCTGTTCCCTAACAGGGCCCTAAGAGGCCCAAAGTACCTAGATGACAACGTTTCAGTGCTGAAAACCAGCAGGGAAAGTTGCTTGTACCTGCCTGGGATGGGAAGAAACTGCGACGTGGCCACAGTGGCCAGTTTTCACAATGAAACAGCCCTTGCTGATACAATAATCTTCATGCTTCATCACAGACCAAAAGCCCATGACATTTCCACACTTACATAATTTTGCCTTACTAACAGAATCCTATCCTTAGAGATGACCATCATCCCCCAACTAAAACCCATACCGACTAATAGGATATTTTTAAGTGCCAGATCAATACGGTCTAAAGCCTCAACAAGGATTGTGTGTAGGTGAATCAAGACAGCTAAGTGAATGTGTGTAAAGCGTTGAACAAGAGCGGACAGCTTTTTATGTACAGTATTCATAGAATGGAAAGTTAAATATTTTTGCAGTGTGTATTTAAGAGAAACCATAACAGTGCCGTCTAAAACTCTTTTGTAAAGTATCTTTACTGTCCTTCAGAAGTGGAAGTCTGCTGGAACCGTGTTGGATGTAAGGTACATTTTCACTGCTCCATGTGTCAGGAGCCCTGGGGGCCACCTCTTTGTGGTGCATGTGCAAGGACGTGTGCACGCGTGTGCTTGGCCGTCCTTTGTGGTGAGCTGTTTCCAAAGGCACACGCGAGTCCAGGGTAGACTCTGCAAACTCCTTGTACTTACGATGTTCAGGAAGTCCAGTGGCGTCCCAATACAGAGATCCCAGTGCAGTTTGTCCAAAATAGCCAGCTCCATCCTTAGCAACTCACTCGGGGTATAGTCAGAGCCACCGTACTCTATGAAGTCCCTCACGCGTGGAATTAACTGTACAAAGAAAATAAAGAGGCCAACGCCCTGTATCCTGTCATGGTAGCTTTTGTCTTCTTATCCATGGGGCTGGTCATCCGTGAGCCTGGTAGGGTTGCCTTCAAGTGACCTGACAGAAAATACTTCGGAAGGAAAACCCAACCCAGATCCCAAGTCCCTAGGCCCCTGGTCGGCAAACGGCGGCTCGCGAGCCACATGTGGCTCTTCGGCCCCTTGAGTGTTGGCTCTTCCACAAAAGACCACAGCCTATTTTGAAGAAGTGGTATTAGAGTCTATTTTGAAGAAGTGGTATTAGAAGAAGTTTAAGTTTAAAACATTTGGCTCTCCAAAGAAATGTCAATCCTTGCACTGCGACATTTGGCTCTGTTGACTAATACGTTTGCCGACCACTGCCCTAGGCAGTTGTTACAATGTGTAGCAAATATATCACATGGTCACACTTGCAAACAGCTTTTGATTCCCAGCTGCACGTCAGCGCCTACCCAGAGGTGTTTGGAGATAGGGCCCGCTCCATCTTCTTACCCAAAGCTCTCTAGGACCTGCTCCTGAGCCCTACCATGACTGCTTGTGGTAGAGAGAAAAAGTAGTAGGCTTTTCTGTTTCATGGTCTGCACCAGACAGCCTCAGCTTTGGCAACACCATAGCTGCAAACATTCCCTTCAGCCTTGTTTTAAGACCGTTCAGTTTTGGAAAAACTTTGATTGTTTTTCCCCTCCCAGAGGGACTATTAAGGCTTGTCTCTAAGTAAACATTCAAGTACCAAGTGCATTAAAGACTTGGTTCTGCTTTTTTAGATAAAGTATTACTGTAACCCTTAGAAATATTTCTTTCAAAGGTCACCAACTTGATCTTTAGTTGGGCAAAGCAACTTTTGGGGGTTTAAATTAAACAAAAATGAAAAGTATTTTCGTTGAAGATTTGGCACCGGACACGAGTGACTTCTCTGTCCCCTCAGACCCTGAGATGAGCTAAGGGAGACCCTGTGGAAGTGGCAGCGGTTCCAGGATACCCAGAGGGGAGGGAGGAGGCCTGCGAAGGGTATTGGGAGAGAACTTGTCCGGAGCAGGACCACAGTGAAACTCAGAAGCGCAGCGAGCCGGACGCTCTTGTGGAGGCTTCTCCTCCGCCCTGCCCCTCTCCAAAAAGGGCCTGAGTCCCTGAGGACCAGGTTCATGGGCACAGTCACATCTCACAGTCTCAAGCACCTGGCTTAGATGTAGTGTCCAGGAGTGGACATGAGGCCACATGGTTTGGGAGGCCATTTCCTTAGCTCAACAGCAGATGCCGCTGCTTAGTGGGAGGTGGCATCTGGCATCAACCAATGAGGCAAGATGTTTGCCAGGAGCTCAGGTTTGCTGTGCCTGGGGACGCAGCTGTTCTAATTCTTCGTTTGTGGGCTCCGGAGTCCCACTAGCCTAAGAACGGACAGCAGAGCCCTGGCCAGTGTGGCTCAGTTCATTGAGCACCGTTCTGGGCACCAAAAGGTCACCAGTTCCATTCCCGTTGAGGGCACCCAAAAATAAATAAAATATTAAAAAAAAAAAAGAAAGAACAGGAGATATCGTGGGAAGTTAATAACTTTTTTCAAAATGCCCACCATTGCCCAGCTGGTGTGGCTCAGTGGATGAGCATCGACCTACTGTATGAACCAGGAGGTCACGGTTCTGTTCTGGTCAGGGCACATGCCTGGGTTGCGGGCTCCATCCGCAGTGTGGGGCCTGCAGAAGGCAGCTGACCAACAATTCTCTCTCATCACTGACATGTCTCTCTCTGTCTCCCTCTCTGAAATCAATAAAATATATTTAAAACAAGAACAAAATGTCCACCATTCCCAAGTACACAGGAAACTCGAGTGCTCCAGTGTCACACCCTTCTATCAAGCAGTCCGGAGCGGACTTCCAGAGGAGCGTACCTCCTCCTCCTCATTGATCTTTGCAGCAAGTCTCAAGCAGGTGATCGTGACAATGTGGAGTAAGCCCTCTCTTACCTGCAGTGGAGAAAGACAAGCGAGTGGAAGATGAATGTCAGAAACAAACTGGGAAGCACTTGGGATATTTTTTTTTTCTTTATGAAATTAACCCCCCTCCCCGCTTTTTTACAAGACTGATGGTATTCCTCCATAAATAAGTTAGTGGCAGCTTTAGATGTGACCACTGGAACTGCTCCTGATGGTATCCGTCAGGACAGACGCCTAGTCAGTGGTCCTTTCTTCACTGGGGGACTGCCTGGAAGGGGGCATGTGACACCTTCTCAGGGAACCCGTAGCCCCATCCTGGCTCGGGCCAGACAAGCACACCCTACCTTCTCACACAGGAGGCCCTTTCTCAGCGAGGCCCTCTCAACTCCAAGTCCACCCCTGACAAGCACACACCACTGAGCCACAGGCACAGGGTGGGGTGTGGAGAGGGTCCGATGCCAGGATCTGAGCATGGAGATGGCTCCTCTCTCAGGCAGCCTTGGGGAGCAGAGGCCGCTCCCTCTCCCACCGCCCCTCACCATCCCTCCCAGGGCTGCCTACCGGTCCGGAGGCCAGCAGGCGGCAGCAGGTGGTGAGGGCCAGGTTGAGAGTGGTGTGGGAGAAGAAGAAGTAGTTGCTCAGCCTCCGGAGCTCCAGCACGACCTCCTGCAAAGCGCCGCTGAGCTCCTCCTGCTCAGGGGTGGGTGGGGGGTGGGGGGTGTAGAGATGGTAGGGGAGGTAGGGGGGAGGGTAGGAGAGGAAGGGGGGGAGGGCAGGGGAGATGGCTGGGGGCTGGTCCCTCCACCAGTGGCAGGAGCCGCCTGCTTAAGGTGAGCAGCCCCTTTGCCTTTGTGGGGGGATGAGGACACATATGTAGTACCTTCATCAATAAAGAAAAAGATTTAAAAAATCGCGGAGGGGGAAGCGCCTCCCTGCCGCCCAGAGGCTCGGCGTGGCGGCCCCTTCCCGCCCTGAGCTGAGCTCCCCGACTCCAGGCCCTTCCTTCCCCAGCGCCTCCGGCAGGGCAGCCCCAACCCCCCGGTGAGAGCGTGAGCCCCCCTGTGCCTCTGCCTCCTGCGGGGACACCTGGGCGCGGGTGCGGGAGGGCCCGGCGCGTGCGGAGGGGGTGCGGGTGCTCCCGGGGCCCCCGCGGGGACCGGTACCTGGGGGTGGGGGTGGCCGCCTCGCCACAGGCGCTCCTCGCGGCCCAGGGCCACGTGCAGGTGGAGGACCAGCCGCTGCTCGTCCAGGAGCCCCACCGAGTCGCTCAGCAGCAGCGGGGCCCTGGGGGCGGCGGCGGGGCCTGCAGCTCGCGGGGTCTGCGCAGCCCGCCCCCCGGGCTCCCCCCTCCTCCGAGGCGGCGGGAGACGGAGCCTCGCGGCCCCTGCGGCCCGACGCCCGTCCGGCGCCTCCTCCGAGGTCGGGGACCGTGCGCCCGAGGCCATGGCGAGCGCCGGCCCTGCGTCCGGAGCGGCCGCCCCGGCTTTTATGGCTTTCATAGCCCGGCGCCGCGCTTCGCCGAGCAGCCCCACCTGGCGCGGCGGGTTCGAGGCCCGCCCCTCCCAGCACCGGCTCCGGCGGTGAGGGCACCCACCTGGGACGCGGCCGGACGGGGCGCGCAGGTGGGCGAGGGACCCTCTTTTAAAAAATACATATTTTATTGATTTTTTACAGAGAGGGATAGAGTAAGAAACATCGATCAGCTGCCTCCTGCACACCCCCAACTGGGGATGTGCCCGCAACCAAGGTACATGTCCTTAACTGGAATCGAACCCGGGACTTTTCAGTCCGCAGGCTGACGCTCTATCCACTGAGCCAAACCGGTTTCGTCCAACCTTTCAATTTTAGACACAATAAATTTGAAATGCCTATTACACATCCAAGTGGAGTGGTGTTCAGGGAGTGGTTCAAATAAGAAAGACGATAGATAGATCCGTTTGTTCTTCCATAAAAATGTATTGAAAACCTGCCCTGTGCCAGGTCCTGTTCTCAGTCCCATTTTAAGTATTGGAGATACTAGTGAGAATGTCAACAAAACACCTCACGGATCTCACCTTCTAATGGTGAGAGATCATGAACAAGTCATCAATCAAGCGCAGTAATGTTTCTAAAGTCTTTAAAGCTCTTCGGATGGGGGCACAATGTATAATTGCTATTGAAGTTTTTCTTTTTGTGTTTTTAAAAAAAATCCTCACCAGAGGATATTCCTTCCATTGATCGAGAGAGGAAGAGAGAGAGAGAGGGAGAGAGAGAGAGAGAGAGAGAGAGAGAGAGAGAGAGAGAGAGAGAGAGAGAGATGCATCCATGTGAACAGGGGGCCAGGAATTGCAAGGGCTGCTATTGTTTTTTTAAATATTGGAGTATTGCAAGAGCCAGAAGATGGGGCTCGATGGAAGGAAATGCCTCCTTTTCCCAGTGACAGCCAGGCATCCCCGCCCCCAACGAGCCAGATGTGCAGCGCTGCGGAACGGCAGCATTGCGCAGGCGCAGTCTGCCTGGCGTCCTAGGAGACGGACTTGGAAGCCTCTGCGCAGGCGTAATTCGTGGAAGCCCGAGGCCCGGGAAGGGGGCGGGGCGAGCCGGGAATGCGCCTGCGCACAGCGCCCTCCCGCCCGGAGCCGCAGTCTCGGAGCGCCCGGGCGGTTTTTCAGTTATCGCCGGCCAGCCGCTCCCGCGAACCCGGCGTCGTTGGACTTGCACCCTGGGCGCGGACGTCCCCGGGCACGGGAGAGAGCCACGATGCCGGTGAGGAGAGTGGCTCAGCCGCTGTGGTTCCTCTTCATCTTCGCGGCCTGGCCCGGGGGCGCGGCCGTTGCCATGGAGGCGCGGAGCGGGCGGGGCAGGGCCCGGCCTGGGGTCCCGGGGCCGCTGGGGAGCCTGGTGGGTGGGTAAGGCCTGGGGTGCGCGAGCCTCCACCGGCCTTGGGAGGGACCCGGGGCCAGCTCTGCTATCTCTGTCGCTGCTGCATCCCGCAGGGCCTGCGCTGCTTGAGGGAAGGCGCTGTGCCAGAGGATGCGCGCTGGCTCTCAGCTCTGCCCGCCGGGTTGGGCCTCTGGGAGCGGCCACCGAGAGTCGCCTTTGGATGCTCCGCACCCCATAGGATCTCCACAGCGGAGCCAGGCTCCGGAAGGCAGCAAAGCGAGGGCTGCCTGCCCCTACTCCAGGCCCCTGACTCGAGCTGTCATTTCTCTCGTGGCGCCTTAGCTTACAGTGCAAGAATGTAACCCCTAGGTGCCTTTGTGTGTCAGGGGGTGGGGGGAGGTGTGTTTGTCTTGTGCATTTAGGAAAGGGGTGGCCTTAGTCCAGTTATAGGATCATGGATAACACCTGAGCCACGGCCAGTTATTTGATTATTACGAGGCCTTCGACAGTTATTTAATCTTTCTGAGCCCTTAGTTCCCAAGTAATTTTACTTTTCCTCATTGGGTTGTTATCAGGATGAAATAAGATACTGCTGGGGAGAAATAAAGGACAGTGCTTGACACGTAGCATTCAATACTCAATATTTGTTCCTTGTCGTTGCTTTCAAATTGTTTATCAATTCATTCAATAAATATTGGGCACCAACCACAGGGTAGGCACTGGAAATACAATATTGACCAAAACCAGCCTGGTTCTTGACCTTGGGAAGAGAGAAGCTTGTCTTCTTAGGCGGAGGTCAAAACCATACCTGTTTATAGAGACAAGCCACTTAACATTAATGAAGTCAGATGGTGGCATACAATAGATAGAAGTACGTTCTGATTAATTTGTAAAGTGTTGCCATGTAGGAATGCTGGCTTACAGATGTCAGATCATCTCCCCCCCCACCCCCCCAAGAGAATCTAAAATTGTTATTTTGTGAAAATTCAATTTTTAACTTTTAGCAACTAATTAAAAATACTTATTTTTATACATATTTTTATTGATTTCAGAGAGGAAAGGAGAGGGGGAGATGGAAACATGAGTGATGAGAGAGAATCATTGATTGGCTGCCTTCTGCGTGCTCCACAATGGATCTGGCATGGACTGGAAATTGAACCATGACCTCCTGGTTCATAGGTTGACTTCCAACCACTGAGCCACACTGGCCGGGGCAAGAGATTTTTAAATACTATGAGCCAAACAAAGGACATCTGTGGGTTGAATTCAGCCCCTGGACTACCTGTTTGCAACTTCTGGTGTAGACAGAGAAAAACAGACACTAATTAAATAATGAGCTATCAAAAGTGTAATTGTACCAGATGTAAAAGAAGCGAGAAGTGCTCTCAGGGCCTACACAGGCATGCCTCGTTTTATTGCTCTTTATTGTGTTTCACAGATGTTTTGTGTTTTTACAAATTGAAGGCAAGACCTTCCACCAGCAAAAAGATTGACTCCTATTTCATTACTCGATTTATTGTGGTTTGGAACTGAACCTGCAGTATCTCTGAGGTGTGCCTGTACAAGGATTTGACCTACTCAGAGAAGTCTGCCCAGGTGAAGTGTATTTTGAGCTGAGATCTGCAGTATAAATGAAGAGGAGAGTGAGGAATGTTCTAGGCCAGTGGTCGGCAAACCTCGGCTCTCGAGCCACCTGCTTTGGCCCTTTAAGTGTGGCTCTTCCACAAAATACCATGTGCGGGCACGCACGTACAGTGCGATTGAAACTCCGTGGCCCATGCGCAGAAGTCAGTTTTCGGCTCTCAAAAGAAATTTCAGTCGTTGTACTGTTGATATTTGGCTCTGTTGACTAATGAGTTTGCCGACCACTGTTCTAGGCAGAAGGAACTACAAGTAAAAAGGTCTGTGGTGAGAAGGATCATGGGGACAATAAAAGGCCTAAAAGAAAGCGCTGTGGCTGTGGCCAAGCACAGTAACTTGTGAGATAAGACAGGAGAAGTAGACATGGGCCAGGGCCAGATCTTACCTTTAGGATTGTTATTTTTATCCTAAGATCTGTGGGAAATCATTGAAGAATTTTAAGTAGGTTGTTTCTCGAATATCAAACAGTAGTCATACTAAAACATTTTTCTCTGCTGCCATTTTCCCCCTTTCTGTCTTTCATTTATTGTTGTCTTCTATAAAGAAAATAGACTATACATGTATTATATGATAAAAATATTTTACTAATTCATTATAAAAAAATAAAAGTCTCAGGAGAACAGAGGACCTACTACTTACTATATTCTTTTTTTTTTTTTAAACTAAATCTTTGTTTATATTATTACAAATGTTCCTCTTTCTTCCCCCCCCCCCCCCCCCATTGCTCTTTTCCGCCAGGTTCCCACCCCACCCTCTGCCCTTTCCCCACCCCCCATTGTCCTCATCCATAGGTGCACAGTTTTACTTACTATCGATATATTCTTGATGATTAAAGTCGTTAATTTTGTTCACATGTGTTTTCCTACAGGTAGGAAACTCAGGAAGCCCAGGACTTTTGTGCAGAATGGCAATAATATACTGATCACTTCTGCTTGAGTAGCATTTACTATAAATGTACATTATATTTTCCCTCCCCTCATTTGTGTTGTAAAAGAAACTTCTTTTTCACATTTTTAAATACACTTTTTCTATGTAGCTGTAAGATCTTTAATTGCATTTAACAGACATTTATGGAGTACTTACATGTGCAAGGCACTGAGATGGCAAAGTAACCTTTTTAAATTTTAAACATAACCTGTTGAAGGTAAATGTAAATGTTCTTTTGATGATCTGTAAATATTTTCTCCACCAGATCAATAAATCAGAGAAGCCAGAAAGCTGTGATAATGTAAAGGTGGTTGTGAGGTGCCGGCCCCTCAATGAGAGAGAGAAATCCATGTGCTACAGACAGGCTGTCAGTGTGGATGAGATGAGGGGAACTATCACTGTGCATAAGACCGATTCTTCCAATGAACCTCCGAAGACATTTACTTTTGATACAGTTTTTGGACCAGAGAGTAAACAACTTGATGTTTATAACTTAACTGCAAGACCTATTATTGATTCTGTTCTTGAAGGCTACAATGGTGAGTACTTTATATAGTTCACCTTCTTAAAAAACAACTTTATTCTGGTATTATTAGAACCCCACATATTGCAATTATAGTTTGATGAGTTGTAGTAAATACATACAGTTGTGAAACTATCACACAATTCACCCCCAAAAGTTCCTTTATATCTACTTACAGTCCCACCCCCAGGTAGCAATCAACTTGCTTTCTGTTTATGGTTTCACCTTTACTTAGAACACCATATAAATCAAGTCATACGCTATCTCATCTTTTTTATCTGTTTTCTTTTACTTCGCATTATGTTTTCAAGGGGTATTTATGTTGTAGCATCTATCACTAGTTTGGCTCCTTTTTATTGCTGAATATATATCACCTTTTATGATCTTTAATGGAAATCTGGGTTATTCTAATTTTTTGGCTATTATACAAAACGCTGCTGTGAGCATTCTTTTTAAGGCTTTGTACAGGCACATTTTAAGGTTTTTCTTGGGTAGATACCTAGGAGTGGAATTGCTGGGTTGTATGGTTAATGTATATTTATTTTATTTTTGTGAAGTGTGTATTATAATTAATTGGGAGAATAGAAAACAACTTGTTTGGCTAATTTTTTCCCATTAATTTTTTATTTTATTTTTCAATTATAGTTGACATACATTATTATGTTAGCTTCAGGTGTGTACCCCAGTGATTAAACAGTACATAACTTACTCAGTGATCACCCTGATAAACTTAGTACCCATTGACACCATACAAAGTTATTAAAATATATTGACTATATTCCCTATGCTGTATTTTACATCCCCGTGATTATTCTGTAATTACCAATTTGTACTTCTTAGTACCTTTTTTCACCTATTCCCTCAACCCTCTGCTCATCTGGCAACTGTCACAATGTTCTCTATGGATCTGTTTACAGTTCTCTATGAGTATAAGTCTGTTCAGTTCTGCTTGTTTGTTTATTCTTCACATCAGTTAGTATATCATTCATTTCTTTTTAAAAATATATTTTTATTGATTTCAGAGAAGAAGGGAGAGGGAGAGAGATAGAAACATCAATGATGAGAGAGAATTATTGATGGGCTGCCTTCTGCACGCCCGACACTGGGGATTGAGCCCGAAACCCAGCATGTGCCCTGACCCGGGATCGAACTGTGACCTCCTGGTTCCTAGGTCGACCCTCAACCAAGTGCCCTAAAAGCAGAGCCTGAAGAAGGTGAGGAATCTATCCACATGGGTAGCTGAGAGAGGCACATTCTAAGCAGAGGAACAAATAAGCACAAAGACCCATAAGCAGAAATGTGCTTGGTGTGTTCCAGGAATGAGGAAGCCAGAGGAGTTGGCATCAAGTGAACAAACCCAAGTGTGTTAGACAAGGTCAGCGTGGTAAATGGGCAGAGCAGCTCCTGTGGGTATTGTAGGCCAGAGAGAGGACCTTGGCCCTTCCTCCCCTGTGAGGGAGGCTCTCCTATGTTTTTATCTAGGAGTTGTAAACATTTTAGATCTTAAATTTAGGTCTGTCATCCATTTTGAGTTTTTATATGTGATGTAAGAGTCTAGTTCTTATTTTTTTTCCTTCTTGCCTATGGCTATCCAGTTGTTCCAGCACCATTTGTTGAAAAGGCTATCCTTTCCTTTGGAATTAACTTGGTAAAAATTAATGGATCACAAATGTGTGGGCTTATTTTGGATTGTCTATTCTACTGGTAGTCCATATATTGGATATATCCTGTTTTGATTACTGCAGCTTTATAATATGTTTTGAAATTAGGTAGTATATGATCTCCAACTTTATTCTTTTTCAAATTGTTTTGTTTTGTTTTTTTTGTTTTTTTCCCCTGGTGTTCTTTGCATTTTCATATAAATTTTAGGATCACCTTGTCAATTTCTACCAAAGTAACTTAGGATTTTGTTGAATTGTTATTCTGACATTTTTGGAGTCTTCTGGTCCAGGAACATGATAGATTTCCCCATTTATTATGTCTTGTTTAATTTCTTATATTAGTAGTTTTATAGTTTTTAGTTTATAGACCTTGCACTTCTTTTCATAAATTTGTTTTTAAGTATCTTGATACTTTGTGAATAGAACTGTTCTCATAATTTCATTTTTGGAATTATGCATTGTGAATATATATAAATGCACTTGATTATTTTAGTAGGTTTTTTTATTTATTGAGATGATAATTCAAATAACATAAGATTTACTACTTTAACCGTTTTACAGTGTACAAGTCAGGTTTTCAGTACATTCATAGTGTTGTGCAACTGTTACTATTATTAGTTTCCAGAACATTTCCATTACCCCCAAAAGAAACTTTTATCTGTATTAGTAGTTACATCTAATGCAGCTCTCTCTTACTCTGCAACAATTTATTACTTTCTGTGTGTATCAATTTGCCTCTTCTAGGCATTTCATGTAAATAGAATCAGACACTATGTAGTCTTTTGTGTCTGGCTCCTTAGCATGTTTTCAGTGTTCATCTTTATTGTATGTATCAATAATTCATTCTTTATGGCAAAATAATATTCCATTATATGGGTATAATATATCTTGTATATTCATTTATCAGTTGATGAACAGTTATTTTCATTTTTTGGCTAATATGAAGAATGTTACTATGAACATTCTTGTACAAGTTTTTGTGTGAACATGTTTTCAGTTCTCTTATGTATTTATTCCTGGAGTGGAATTGCTGGGTCAAAAAGTTAACTGCCAGACTTTTCCACAGTGGCTGCAATTTTTTTATACCCACCAGCAATGCATGAGGTTCCTAATTTCTACACATGCCAAAATTTGTTATATCTTTTTTAAAAATTGTTTAAAGTATTACATTTAGTAGTACATATATCTCCTTTTTTATTCCCCATTGGCCTTTCCCCAGCCTCCCCTACCCCCTGGTGCATGCCCTCGTCCCACCCTCCAGTGTCCTGTGTCCATTGGTTGTGCTTATATGCATGCATACAGTCCTTTGGTTGATCTCTCCCCCCTCTTTCCCCCCCCCCCCACTTTCCCAACACTCCTCAGTCCTCCTGCTGTAATTTGACAGTCTGTTCAGTGCTTTACTGCCTCTGTATCTATCTATTTGTTCATCAAGTTATAATGTTCTTTATTTTCCATAAATGAGTGAGATCATGTGGCGTTTTTCTTTTATTGCCTGGCTTATTTCACTTAACATGATGCTCTCCAGGTCCATCCCTGCTGCTGCAAATTATAAGAATTCCTTCTTTTTTATAGCAGTGTAGTATTCCATTGTGTAGATGTACCATAGTTTTCTAATCCACTCATCTGCTGATGGGCATTTAGGCTGTTTCCAAATCTCAGCTATGATGAATTGTGCTGCTATGATCATAGGGTGCATATATCCTTTCTGATTGGTGTTTCTAGTTTCATGGGATATATTCCTAGAAATGGGATTACTGGGTCAAATGGGAGTTCCGTTTTTAGTTTTTTGAGGAAAGTTCATACTGTTCCCCACAGTGGCTGCGCCAGTCTGCATTCCCACCAGCAGTGCAGGAGAGTTCCTTTTTTTCCACATCCTCACCAGCACTTGTCGTTTGTTGATTTGTTGGTTGATGATAGCCATTCTGACAGGTGTGAGATGGTTCCACATTGTCTTTTGATTTGCATCTTCCGGATAATTAGTGACTTTGAGCATCCTATCTAATGAAGAGGGAATATGCTAATTGACTATCACTCCATCACAAAGATGGCTGCCCTACAGCTGAGGCTATGGCTGCCCCACAGTTAAGTTCCCATAAGGAGCCTTAACGAGCAATCAGCAGGGACCTGAGGCTGTGCCCTCCCCCACCCCCTGAGGCTTGATGGGGGGACCTCAAGGTGCACCCCCAGTGCTAGTGGGGGAAATTCAGGCCGTGGTCCTGCCCAGTGGGGCTTGACTGGGAACATGAGGCTGCACTATAGTTTCATAATTTCTGTTATCTGAATTGCACTGGCTAGAACCTACAGTACAATGTAGTAGTGGTGATAGTGGGCATTTTTGTCATGTTCCTGATCTTAGAGAGAAAGCATCCATTGTTTTACCAGTAAATATGATGTTATTTGTAGATTTTTTTTCTTTCTTTTTTTATTGTCTAAAGTAGGGGTGTCGAACTCAATCAGAGAAGGGGCCAAAATCTAAAATCCAGCCTAAATCGCGGGCCGAATGGTTTACTGAACAGTCATAAACTGTCATTGTGATGGAAACGCAGCGGAGTGCAGTGATGACAGCGCGGTGCGGGCCACATTGCAAGGCCTGGCGGGACGGATTTGGCCCGAGGGCCTTGTGTTTGACACATGTGGTCTAAAGTTTTACATATGTCTCCTTTTTCCCCAATTGACGACTTCTCCCCACCGTCTCCCACAGCCATTCCCATCTCGGGCAAGCCCCAGTGCCCCAGTGAATGTGTCCATTGGCTTTGTTAATATGCAGGCATACAAGTCCTTTGGCTGCTATCTAACTGCCCCCCCCCCCCCACACACACACATCATTTGTCTCTGGATCTATTCTTGTTCATCAAATTATGTTGATCATTATATTCCACATATGAGTGAGATCATGTGATATTTATCTTTCTCCGACTGGCTTATTTCTATTTGTAGATTTTTCATAGCTATTCTTTATCAGATTGAGGATTTTTCCCTCTGTTTTTAGTTTGAGAGTTTTTTCAGGAATGTATATTTTGTCAAATGCATTTTTTTCTGCACTTATTTAAATTATTTTTTTTAAAGTTTGTTAATATGGTCAATTCCATTGATTGATTTTAAAATGTGAAACCAGCCATGCCACCTGGTTATAGTGTATTATCCTTTCGTATATTGTTAGATTTGATTCCCTGAAATTTAAAAAAATATATATTTTATTGATTTTTTACAGAGAGGAAGAGAGAGAGAGATAGAAACATCAATGAGAGAATCATTGACCAGCTGCCTCTTGCACACCACCTACTGGGGATGTGCCCGCAACCAAGGTACATGCCCTTGACCGGAATCGAACTTGAGACCCTTGAGTCCGCAGGCTGACACTCTATCCACTGAGCCAAACCGGTTTCAGCTTGATTCCCTGAAATTTTTAAAAATATAATTTTATTGATTTCAGGGAGGGAGAGAGAGATGGAAACATCAATGATGAGAGAGAATCGTTGACTGACTGCCTTCTGCATGCCCCTTACTGGGGGTTGAGCTGCAACTACCATTTACTTGTACTCTACCAGACATCATGTTGGTCACTTGAAGTGTTTCATTTGGTCCTTACTATTAAGTAGGATAGCTAAATTTTTATTCCCATTTTATCTTTTAGGAGACAATCTCTGGGTAGAAACTTGCTTAAGGTCAAGTGGATAAAAAGTGGCAGATATGTGATTCACACTGAGGTCTTTTTGATTTAGAATCTGTATTCTTTTGCTGTAATTACGCTATCTTTTCCAACTTATGTAACATTAAATAATTAATGTGCACATTACAAGAAATGTTTTTAAATGTAAGATTTTACATTTAGGGTTTGGAATTCTTTTTATTAATAATTAGAAATATCTCATTAATCGTGCTTTGCTCATGAGGCACAGAATACATACATATTGTAATTGTTAATAAAGGTGAAATTTGTACTAGAATTCAGGGAAGAAATTGCATCACAGTGTCAAAGGAATTAATTTTAAGAGCTGTTGTTCTGCAGACTTATACTCTAAAAATACATTGATTTTCTTCATTTTCAGGGACTATTTTTGCATATGGACAAACTGGAACAGGCAAAACTTTTACTATGGAAGGTGTTCGAGCTGTTCCTGAACTTAGAGGAATCATTCCAAATTCATTTGCTCACATATTTGGACATATTGCAAAAGCAGAGGGTGATACAAGGTAAACTAATTCTTTTATTTTTCCAATATTGACAAGTACAGACTTAAGAAAGGCAAATAGGTACAAATTTTATAAACAGCTTTTAAACTGTTTTTATAAATATTTCACCGTTTCATATTTTTAAAGTGATGTTTTATTTATAGATTTTTGGTTCGAGTATCTTATTTGGAAATATATAATGAAGAAGTTCGTGACCTCTTGGGCAAGGATCAGACACAGAGGTTAGAGGTAAGGATAATTGAAATTGGAGTACTCTCTAAAACAATTGAACGTTAAGACCAGTAGTATCTATGCCTGCCTCTTTAGCCAGATATCCAACCCATCCTACTCCCACCCCTCTTTCCAGCCTACTTTACTCCTAATTCAAAATCCTTACATTTATTCTTTTCCTCCTACCCCAGATTGTCTACTTCCTGTTTCTTTAAGTCTTAGCTTAAACATCATCTTAGGGAAACTTATCCTGTCCCTGCTTCATCAGTGTAAGTCTCTATAATGTATTCTTTCACTGTCTTCTATTTTTTTAATTCATGGTGTTACACAGTGAAATAAAATAATTTTTGTGTGTAATTATTTGTTTGCATGTTCTCCCTATAGATTTTCACTTCCACAAGTGTGGAGACTGTTTACCTTGTTTATCACTGTCTACTCTATCTAGCAGTATCTCACAGTAGGTGTTCAATAAATAATTGTGTTAAATAACACATTATTTACATGTAGTGGATGTTCAATGTTCAATAAATAACACATAAATGTTCAATGAATAGCTGTGAAAGAATTATGGATATATGTATTAAATCTTATGATTATTTATTTTAGGTTAAAGAAAGACCTGATGTGGGAGTTTATATCAAAGATTTATCAGCTTATGTGGTAAATAATGCTGATGATATGGATAGAATTATGACACTAGGCCACAAAAATCGTAAGTGTAAATTATAATTTTGATTAAACATTTATGTGTTGAATAGGCTGGTTTAGAAGCAAAAACTGGTGTGACATTTTGTTCCACAAAGCGGATTTTTAAGTTTCTTGAAAATCCTTTCTCTGATTATTTACTAGGTATAATCGATCCTTGGACTCTATAGTCTGCAGGCCGACACTCTATCCACTGAGCCAAACCAGTCTCGGCAAGAAATAGTTAATTTTATACTTAAGAAAATATGATAAGTTAGTCATCTCACAAATAGCCTGCCTAGCAACTAAAATGCAAATTTAAATTATTCAGTATATTTACATGTGGGCATCCTTGTACATTGATTAATATTTTTGTAGAGCAGTGTTTTTAGCCTTTACACCAAATTTATTTTTTAATATATATTTTATTGATTTTTTTTTTTTTTTTTTTTTTTTTTTTTTTTTTTTTTTTACCGAGAGGAAGGGAGAGGGATAGAGAATTAGAAACATCGATAAGAGAGAAACATTGATCAGCCGCCTCCTGCATACACCTTCCTGGGGATGTGCCTGCAACCAAGGTACATGCCTTTGACCGAATCGAACCTGCGACCCTTCAGTGTGCAGGCCGACGCTCTATTCAATGAGCCAAACTGGTTAGGGCAAATTTATTTTCTTTAAAAATTATATTTTTGAATAGGTAATTCATACACATAATGTAAAATTCAAAAGGCACAAAAGTATCCATTGAAAAAACAAGTCTCCTACCCTTGTGTCTTAGTCACCTGGTTCCCATTCCTGTGGCAACTTCTGTTAGTTTCTAATGTACCCTTTCTGATGTAGTCAGTGTGTTTTTAAAGAGTGCTTGTCCTCTTACTTTATTCACTTAACAATATTATCTTAGAGATCATTTCACATTAACACATACTTACCCTATATAATAAAAGGCTAATATGCAAATTGTCCCCTCAACCAGGAGTTTGACCAGGAGGTGGGACCGGGCCGGCCAACCGTCTGCGGCTCCTCTCCTAGCTAGCCCAGCCCAAGTGGCCCCAATCTGTAAGGGCCAGCCGGACCCCACCCATGCACCAATTCGTGCATCCGTGTTCTAGTACATATATAAGCATTTTAAAAAAATGATGTAGTATCTCATTGCATGAATCTACATAATTTATCCAATTTTTTAATGATGGACTTTGGGTTGTTTTCAATCTTTTCTTCCGAGCGATACAGCATTAAATATTATTACATAAACATGAATTTATACATGTGCAGGCATATATATAGGATATATTTTTCCATATTCTCTTGAAAAGCTTAAAAACATATATCTTTTATTTCAAAATAAATATTTGACAAAAATTAAAGCTATGGAAATGTTTTTTGTTTTATTTCCATTGTGACATGTCAATGTTTGGAGCTTTGAGTCTACTTCATTATGCAAGTTCTCTCCCAGGGATTGTAAAGTTCAACATAGGTCACATTTAACAGCATGGCTGTTGCATTTCTTGGTTTTTATAACCAGATATGCCAAAAAATTAAAATAATAAATAGCTTGTTTTACTTATATTGCAAAAAACAATAGGCATTAATAAGATTTTTTTCAAATTACATGTTCTCTCCTCATCCAAATTGGAAAACACTGCTACAGTATCACATAGCTATAAAACAATTTCTACTCTTTGACCTGGTAATTCCAGTTTGGAAAATACATCCCATGGAAATAATACTAAAGAGAAAGAGAGGTATCTGCTCAGAGACGCTCATTTTGTGTTCCTTATGAGGACCTAAAGTGGGAAACCATCCCAAATACTAGTATCTCTCAGGAAGGGAACAGCAAAATCAAGGTTTAACAGTTCTTTATATTTTTTGAAGAAACTTATAATTTTATTTAAAAGAAAATAGAAAAATATAGTATGAAGTCGTAAGTCCTTACTTTTTTTTTTTTTTTTTTTTTTTTTTACTAATTTTTCCTTCTTTTGACAAGTTTTACTTTTTTTTTCAATTACAGTTTACTTTCATTATTATATATTGGTTTCCAGTTGTACAGCATAGTGGTTAGACAATCATACACTTTACATAGTTCTTCCCTTTGTCCCTTCCCTCGCATATTTCCAGTGCCCAACCAGCACATACATAGTTATCACAATATTATTGAATATATTCTCTATGCTGTTAATCCCCATGACTATTTTGTAACTAGCAATTTGTATTTAATTCCTTTACATCTTTTTCCCTCTCTCTTACTCCCCTCCCCTCTGGCAGCCACCAGTTTGCTCTCTTTATCTGAGAGTGTTTTAATTTTGTTTGTTCATTTATTTTGTTATTTAGATTCCATATATGAGTGAAATCATATGATATTTGTCATTTGCTGACTGACTTATTTAGGCTTTACTTTTCTTTCTTTTTAAAAAAAATACATTTTTATTGATTTCAGAGAGGAAGGGAGAGGGAAAGATACAGAGAGAGAAACAACAATGATGAAAGAACCATTGATCGGCTGTCTCTTGTACACCCCGCACTGGGGATTGAACCTGCAACCCAAGCATGTGTCCTGACCGGGAATCCAACCGTGACATCCTGGTTCAGAGGTTGATGCTCAACCACTGAGCCACGCAGGCTGGGCTAGGCTTTCCTTTTCTGTATTAGTGCAAGTTACATTCCAGTTATCTGACTTCAGTACAGCCATGTTAATAATGAATAATGTTTATATTTTAATGTTTAAGTTCTAAAATCAAATCTTGTGTGGAGAAGTTCTGCATGAATATAGAGTAGGAAGATAATTTTGATGTTGGGTAAAATTAATGCTTTTAAAATACTTTGGAATTTAAAGGGGAAAAATAATATGTGTTGTAAAAAACAAAACACTTTTTTTTTGTTTACAAGATATATTCATGTAAAATATTTATACCCACACAATACTTTGAACGGATACTTTGTTTTATAGAAGAGGGATTATACTATATATTCCTCTCTTTTTGTTTCCTAGACATATGTTATGGATATCTTTCCATGTCATACCTTTATTTTTTAAAAAAATATATTTTTATTGATTTCAGAGAGGGAGGGAGAGGGAAAGAGAGATAGAAACATCAGTGATGAGAGAGAATCATTGCTTGGCTGCCTCCTACATGCTCCCTACTAAGGATCACGCCCACAATCTAGGAATGTGCTCTTGACCAGAATTGAACCTGGGACCCTTCAGTCCTCAGTCGATGCTCTATCCACTGAGCAAAACTGGCTAAGGCTACCTTATTTTTTTAACTCCATATTATGACTAGTTTATAATTGATTAACCACTGTCCTGTAATTGTTTCTAATCTCTTGCTGTTGTGAATATGCTGCGCTGAATATCCTGGCATCATTTAATGCATGTATACAAGTATTTCTGTGTTTTAGATTCGCAGAACATAATGTTTTTTAGAGATAGCTGAAACAGCAATATTTTTAAAAAATTATTTACCATGTATTTTTATGTAAATTAGTTATTTTTTTTAGCCAGTAATACTTCTGGTTAAAGTTAATTACTTTGTCCTAAAGTTACCTCTTTAGTATAAGAAACATTACAAATTTTTTTGTTATCAACATAAATTGTCAGAAACTGATAATAATGGCTAATCACATCTATGCTTTTATGGTTTAACCAGACTGTTTGATTTTTGCCTCTGGTAAAATTAAGTATTATAAACCATTCTGGATAGTTAATTATTTTTAAAGGTACTCCCTGTTATTATACTTTTTAAGAATTTCTTTCCTTTATTCAAGGTTCTGTTGGTGCAACTAATATGAATGAGCATAGTTCCCGTTCCCATGCCATCTTTACAATTACCATAGAATGCAGCGAAAAAGGCGTTGATGGGAACATACATGTCAGGATGGGGAAGCTCCATCTTGTAGATCTCGCTGTAAGTAATAGGCTGCTACTTTAAAGAATAAATTGTAATTATTTTATAAATGAATAAAAATTCAAGTGTAAAGGTGTGATTTATATATGATTTTTAAGTTGTTAACTTGTGTATGTGTTTTGCTTACTATGGAATATTTTGAACCTGTACAAAAGTAGATAGAATAGTATAATCTTCCATGTAACCATCACCTACTTCAACAACTACTGGTTCATGGCCAGTCCTGTTTCATTTCTACCATTACCCACTTGTCTTCCTGTATTATTCTTATGTGAGTTCCAGATACTAAGTCAGATTCCTTTTCTGTTAAATTATTTTTTATTAAGTTTTAGAAACAATATACTGAATTTTTTTTTTTTTAGCTTTATTTCTGTGTCTGTTTATTGCTAGGGTTCAGAAAGACAGGCAAAAACTGGAGCTACTGGACAGCGCCTCAAGGAAGCTACAAAAATCAATCTTTCGCTTTCCACCCTTGGTAATGTAATTTCTGCCTTGGTTGATGGAAAAAGCACTCATGTGCCTTATCGGAATTCTAAATTGACTCGTCTTCTTCAGGATTCCTTAGGAGGAAATTCAAAGACCATGATGGTAAGACTTAATTGATGATATTATAGTTATCATCAGGCAACTTTTAGATTCCTGTTTATCCTTATAACTTACATGCATAACATTTAAAAAAATATTGATTATTTTACTTTATTTGATTTTGTGATTGTTCTTTTTCTAGTATACCATGTATACAAGCCCATACCGTGTTATTTGAAAACTGACATGGTTATACTTACTTTCTCTTTCTTTTTTAAAATATATCTTGATTGATTTCAGAGAGGAAGGGAGAGGGAAAGAGAGAGGGAAATATCAATGATGAGAGAGAATCATTGATTGCCTGACTCTTACATGTCTCCGACTGGGAATCAAGCCTGCAACCCAGGCATGTGCCCTTGACTGGAATCGAATCTGGGACCCTTCAGTCCAGAGGCTGATGTTCTATCTACTGAGCCAAACCAGCTAGGGTCTTATTCTCTTTTTCATGAAGATGAGAGTAGAAGTATGCTTTAGGAATTATTTTACTTATCTTCGTAATGGTAGTATTAATTTTAACTGTGTCAGGTGTTACAATATTTTGTTTTGTATTCCTAATTCAACAGTGTGCAAATATTGGGCCAGCAGATTATAATTATGATGAAACTATCAGTACATTACGGTATGCTAACCGTGCTAAGAATATTAAAAATAAAGCTAGAATTAATGAAGATCCAAAGGATGCTTTGCTTCGTCAATTTCAGAAAGAAATAGAAGAACTGAAAAAAAAGCTTGAGGAAGGTAACTTTTCCCCAAAATGTTGATCTTAATGTTGGCTAAAAATATGTTGCTTTACCAGTAAACCACCTATTAAAAATTCTTTGCACCTCTAAAATTGATATTTAAAGGCATATTTCTGCTTGCTAACTTGACACATACATATTAAGTAAGCTCAAGTAAATGTATATAATGTTTGTATATGTGATTTAAAAACTTTACTTAATTTAAACCTCTATCTTAATCCCAATGACCTTTTGTAGATTTTATATGACCACTTATTAAATAATTAATTTTTATTTGTCTCTGTATAAGAGCACATTCTAACCTATATTTAGATGATTATGACCAGAGTTCCTATGGTAGATATCAGTTACAGTTGAAGTAAAGTTAGCTATCACAGAGTCAGGGTACACCAAGTTTACTATAAGTAAAATTCATTGATAGTATTCAAATATGCTTTCATACTTAAATTTCAACATGAGGTTCTCTTTTGGAAATTCTTTGCTAACAAGATAATTAAAAGGTTAACTAGTTTGGAGACCTTATTCATGCTGTTGAGAAATTTACCATTGCTAAGTGCCCAGTGACTTCCTGGACCTTCATGCTAAGAACTGATTGGCATAGGGCTCCTCTGCATAGCAGGTAAACCAGAGGGCTTTGAAACTGCCTATTTTCTGTGGGAAAACTGGCTAGATCAGATGTGAAATCAAGAGATGCCAACATCACAAATGTTTGGAGAATGTGCTGATTCAATCAATACACTTGAGTAAGATTGTTGAGGAAAAGCAGTTGTAATTGACCTGCCTCTTAGATAATGAAATTGGTGTTTTAAGTGTGACCACTAGGTGGTATTTATAGTCAGTATATTTTTAAAAATTTTAATTCTAGATTTGTTAATGTTGAGTATACTTTTATTTTGCTAACTTATGTTTTTTTACATTTGCTTATTGTGGGAAAATATACATAACATAAAATTTACATTTAAACTATTTTTAAGTGTATTAAATAGTTCACATTGTTCTGCAACCATTACCATCATCCATCTCCAACTTTGTCGTCATCCCAAAATGAAACTCTATCCACTAAACACTAACTCCCCATCGCCCTTTCTCCCTCACCACCTGGTAGCCACTATTTTACTTTCTATCTCTGAATTGACTATTCTAGGCACCTCATGTAAGTTAACAAAATCTTTGGACAAATAAGTCCTTTTGGAAAATTTCTTGGGATATAGTTCTAAAAGTGGAATCACTATGTTAGATGATAGTTTATAGCTCTTAACATATAAGACTGAAATTATTGTAACATGTAATTTATATATATTTAGAACTATACTTTATTATTTGAAGTTTTAAATGGATAAGAATTTAACTTCTCTTTAGGAAATTTAAAAATAAAGCCTGTGTGTACATCATATCTATTTCTGAGGTTAACATATCTGATATGCTGTTTAGGAATTTTAATTCAAAGTTTGTTTAGCAACAAAAACTTAATGGAATAAGTGATGTAGACATTTTCTATATAGCCAATGGCCTGGAGTGGAATAAAAATCATTGTAATAAATTTCTATTCAAGGGGAAGAAATATCAGGCTCTGATATCAGTGGGTCAGAAGAGGATGATGATGAAGAGGGTGAGGTTGGAGAGGATGGAGAGAAAAGGAAAAAAAGAAGGGGTAAGTTCTTTTTAGTTTTAGAAATTACCTTAGATTGCTACTTAATGATGATTTAACATCGCCACGGAAGTTGAGTGCATGCCTTTTATTTTGCCATTTTTAATTACGGTAACAAGTCAAATAGGAAGTATGACATATACCTGGTTAACTTTTTATTTTCTGTATTATTTTGTCTCCTGTACTTCTCTGTTTATAGCTGAATTAGAATACCTATGTTCTGTTTTTATTTTAGAATTTAGAATTGAAGTCAGTGATAGTGGATATACTATTTTAAAATTTCTTGTAGGGTTTCAATTTTATTGGGGACTTTTATGTACGTTATGAACCTAAACTTTTTAGGAACTCAGGATAATGTGGAGGTTTTATCAAGCATAATTAGGCTTTTGAAGTCATTGAATTGTTTAATAAATTTGTTTAAGGATTCTAATTTTTCAGTTTGATTTTTTCCTTATAAAATGTACTTTCATTCTCACCCTGTTATGTGCCATTTATTGCCCAAGTACAAATTAAACTGTTTATTGTAATAAAGATATGGATAACATGCAAAAGAAAGAGATGTGTTAAATGGCCTACATTAAAATTTTTTTACCCTAAATATTTATTTATTTTGGCACTCTCTTCCATTAACATGGATTATTGTTTTCAAGCTAGTGCGTATTTTGCTTGTCTTATTAAAATTATTGTAATCAGGGCAAGATGTTCAAGTGCACATCTTTTGTCATTGCCTAGCTGCCTACACCCGCTCTTTAGGGAGATGGGGGTCATTAAGGAAACTTAACATTGGGGAAAAAAATGATCTTGCTGAAAATAAACTTGTCTCTGCTTGATCAGGACCCCAAAATTTACAAATGATAAAGATTTTATAACTTCAAAAGACAGGAAAAGCATGATTTAGAGCAGGAGTTGGCAAAATATAGTCTGCTGGCCAAATTCAGCCTACCACATGTTTTTGTAAATGAAATTTTATTAAACAGCCATGCTTATTTGTTTATATGTGGTCATATGAGACTGTATGATTTTCAAAACCTAAACACTTATTATCTATACTTTTACAGAAAATGTTTGCCAAACCCTGACTTAGAGAATCACTTTTGTGTGCATACCTATTTTTTATTTATTGATTTGAAAGAGAGAGAGAGAAACATCTATGTGAGAAAGAAATGTGAATCCGTTGCCTTCCGAACATCTCCCGACCAGTAATTGAACCTGGAACCTGGGCATGCGCCCTGACAGGGAATTGAGTCGGGGACCTTTTGGTGCACAAGACAGTGCTCAAACACCTGAGCCCCACTGACCAGGCCATACCTGTTTTCACAAAGTAAATTATTCAAAGCTAAAGCAGATAATAGATTTGTTAAAAATAAAATTTTAAATAGCAAAAAATATTTAATAATAAAATACCTTCCTTTCAGGCTTAGAAATTTTAAAATGTTCAGTGAGCTTTTCAAAATTTGACCATGAAACCTTAAAACATACATAATTACATCTGATAGTGTGTTGTTTTAAAGGAGAATGAGTGAAATTGGAGACAAACCAACCTGTCTATAATGTAAGGCAATTTATCATTTTATAAGTTTAATTATGTATGATTTCAAATTTAAAATTCAGTTCCTTTAACATATCAACCTAAATAGTTTAAATAAATTTAAATGTCACCAAATGACTTACTGATTTTTTTATTCTTGTCATTCCAACCCTCTGAATTGCTGTGTTTTAGGTGAATAGTGGGGTTTGCCCACAGTAGGTGCTTAAAGGAATACAGTTTCTAATTCTGCATGGCTTTGATAGTAGAGCATATTGGCTAGACTACCAAGACTGGTTTTGAGGGAAAGTAAGTTTTGGTTCTTTAATACAAAGCTTGATTGTTTTTTAAAATTCTCTCTCTGGACTGAATTTTTCTGTGTATTATTCCTTCTCTTGTGTCCTTTCCTTTGGTCCCCGTCGGGCTCATCTCTTTGTCTTCCAGGCAGTAGCAGCAGCAGTAGCTCAGACTCCACATGCTCTGTCATAGAGAAGCCTCTGGATAAGGTCTTGCCTAGTGAGTGGAGCTCTAAGTTCTCTAACGGAGCTTTGGCTTCTTCATAACCCGGGGCTTCACCTGAGGAATGCTGCACTGCTCCCTGTCATGACTTACAGAATACATAGTGGACTTCTCAGTAGAACAAAGCATGTGATGACCTCCCCCTTCATTGCTTCCAGTAACCTATAATTGTTAAAGCACATACTTACATTTATGTTGGAGACAATGGAAGAGAGATTCGTGCTTTTGCAATTGAGATAATGTAAAGAGAGCTACCCTGTTTCCCCAAAAATAAGACAGTGTCTTATATTAATTTTTTCTCCCAAAGTTGCTCTAGGTCTTATTTTCAGGGGATGTCTTATCTTTCCATGCGCTAGGTCTTATTTTCGGAGGATGTCTTATTTTCGGGGAAACACGGTAGTAAGCTGTATAAAAGAATACTTCTTATGGTTCCTTTTCATGTTTCATGACAAATTTCTAATCCTTGTCAGTATAAGGGATATGTAGTAACAAATCCTGAATTTCTAAAACCCCAAATTATATTTGGAAATGCAGTGCCCATTATAGCATGTCTTACAGTTATAAAGGTTTTAGGCTTTGGTGTCCTAATCTTAGGGTAGCTTAAGAGTGAAAGCACCCAAATAAATAAATAACAAGTAAAATTTGAAGCAACTGAATATGAATTGAATAGTACTAGTATTTTATATCAAATGGCCATTTATCTCTATTTCTAAATTACATGATTGATTTTAAGAAAATTTCTAATGTATGATTAGAGAAGTCAGATCCACAAGAAATTGTTTATGCATTATCTGTTGACCTATTTCAAAACTAGAGACTTTTTCTTAAACCTTAATTAAATTGAAAAGTATTATGCATTTTATTTATATTTCATTTTCAGAAGAAAAGGGAATTGGTGCTTTCTTGCACTAGCTTTCAACTTATTGTCTTTTAGAGCATTATCTATATACTTACCTTTAGAAACCAATAGCAGAAACATTTGATTATTGTTCTTATGCCTTGAGCTTTCTAGAGGAAAAATTCCAAGAATATTAGGAATTGTATTCTCTATTGACAATTCTTAAATTTTATCAAAAACAGTTAATTTCAGAGGATAACATAAAATACATGACATTGCTTTAGAAACCATATAGAGGTATTATTTTGTATTGTAAACTCTGAAATATAAGAAAACATCTGAGTGGGAGGCATTAATTTTCTGTTTTAAAATTTACCTTAATTCTTAAAGACTAGTTATATGAAAGTCTGTTATGAAATGAGGTGTACTTTGTTCAATGCAAGCAGTTTGTACACCCGGCACATAACTTTAAGTTCTTTTTTTGTGATGTGGGTATGCTGATGAAGTACAAGATGGTCGTCCCAGCATGATTTCTGCGTGTAACTTGTATGTACTTTCCCTTTAAAAAATATGAATGGCCTTTTTATTTAGGTGTTCTTTGCTTGAATCATCAATTGATTATTTACTTCTATAGAATCATTATTATAATTATCCTTAACAAGCCACTAATAGATTGAATGCAAGTTTGTTATTATACAGGTGTACTTCACTTTATGTAATAAATATTTTTGGTTTTTATGTTTCTTTTCCTGAAAAAATTGCCCTTAAATCAAGTTGGAAAATCAAATGTATTGGGAGAGATCTTACTTTTTAAAAGGATCTTTCATTAAATCCTTTTGTTAATTAAATCATTATTGCAAATTGCTATAATCTAATTTGGGGTTGGGGTTTTGGGTTGGATTTTCTTAAAGGGAGGCACACCTGTAACACTTCCTTAACATTGGAAGAACATTGAATTGGGAAATTTTGGAAACAGACAGTGTGAATTTTGCTGCTTTTAACTTATTAAATTGGCTTAATTTTCTGCTTTGCTCTTTTAGAATATTTCTCAGGTCTTAGCAGTTTCCCAATTCCATGTCTGCTGTTATTATACCCACTGAACTGTTATACTTGCAGGAGTTTGGGAGTCTGTGTGAGCTCTTGAGATTGAATTAAATTGTAATATTAGACAAAATTAATCTTTCTTTGCTTAAATTAAATCTCTGTGTTGAATATGCTTTACTTTTTACATAAAACTGCTCTTTCAGTTTTGATAATAATTTGATTTTTATACATTCTTCTTTGTTTTATATAAGAAATAATGTTTTTCTTTTTTTCCTCTTCATCTCTGTGCATATGCTTCCTGTCTACGATTTGCTTACTACTTCTTATTGAAAGATCAAGCAGGTTGGTGTGATTGATTTGCACTCCCCGTGGTGGTACAATTATTTAAACTATAAAGAACTTTATCATCTAACTATATTACATTAAACAAATTTTAATGATTTTTTTTAACAAGGTAAGTATCCACCTTTTGTATTTAAAAAAAAACAAACTTTAAACTTTAGCTTTAAAAAAATTCCATTTTTTTTCCTAAATTATTTTTTAAAAATTTATTTGTTTTTATTGACTTAAGTATTAGGAACATTTTTTTTTTATTTTCAAAAGATTTTTTTAGCAGAACAATTCAGAAGTATTAGATTGACAGTGACAGACACACAGGATGTGCTAGACCTAATTAACAGCGGAGACAAAAATAATATATCACCAGATCTAGATGGCATAATCTTCCTGAAATTTTAAAAGACCCATTAAGCCAAATTTTGGAAACATAAATATAAATGATTTTACATTCAGGCAATTTTTTCTTGTTTTTTTTTAAGTGAGGAATCAGTTGCTTGGTTACTTATGCCCATGGGTGTTCATATAGTGAAAATGAAATTAATTCAATTAACTCTTCCCTGAGATTCTTCCCTTTAACCGTACCTTGCAGTGTCCCTTTTCACAGTTTTGGATAGAGCGCATGGCACAGGGCAGTTAAAAATATATTTATCTGAAAGTTTGTGCTGAATTCTTTTATGCATTTTTTTTTCTGGGTTTGGTTGATTTTTTTGAATGAAATTTTAAAAAATTAATGTAAAAGTGACTTTTAGTGATTTCATGTTTTCAAGTGCCTGGTTAGAAGAGTTGGCACATATCTACATTTAGCTTTAAATATTATTTGAAGAGAAATATAATGATTTATTGGAGTAATTCTGGCAATATATTATGAAATATTAGATTTTTGAAACTGAACTAGCTATATATACATGGTTATTTTTCTGAAAATGTTACAAGAACACAATAAGATTTTTGTTGCTAAAACATCAGTTTGAAAATATTACCTAAATAATTTTGAATAACTAATGCAATTTAATTATAGTAGTAATTCATCAGTAGGCATGTGCTTTTGTATTTCTAAATATAAAATCTTTTTATTCTATTGCCTCTTAATGGGCTTGGAAACTATATATATTTGTGTGTGTGTGTGTGTGTGTGTGTGTGTGTTTAAACATATTATTGATTTCAGAGAAGAAGGGAGGAGAGAAACATCAATGATGAGAGAGAATCATTGATCAGCTGCCTCCTGTACGCCCCCTACTGGGGATCGGCCTGCAACTGGGGCATGTGCCCTTGACCGGAATGGTACCCGTACCCTTAGTCCACAGGCTGACATTCTATCCACTGAACCAAACCTGCAAGGGTGGAAACTATGTTTTTAACTGTTGACAATTAGAAGCCTGGAAGTCTAAAAAAATTAATGTGCATATATTGACCAGATAATTTCCTTTATACCATTAATATCCAGGTCTTCACATATACAAGATTGTTGTTTTCTCCCCTTAACATGTTTGCTGTTTTTTTCTTTAAATATTTGAAATTCTGAGGTAGAAAGGAAGCTATAATTTATTATGCATGCCACTTACATCATACCTGAACTTACATTTTCCCCCTGAAATTTCTAAAAATAGTATTACCAATGGGAAATTCTTTGGGAATAGGGATTAGATTACTTTTCTAAATTATCTTTTAATAGTGTTATTCAGAACATTCAGTACAGGTGACTGTGCCAAAGAAGCCAATAGAATCAGGTCTACATCCTGACTTTTGGAATGCAATGAATCACACCACACCAGAGCATGAATTTGGATCAGTGCTTTTATTTATTCTTTTATTTAGCTTATTTGTTTCGTGGCTTAAGTTTGCTTCAGACGTATATTTACTTAGAAATGAAGGGTAATATATTTTAAACAGTTGGGTTTTTTTAATATAATTTTATCCTAAAGAATTGAAACTTGCGCATGATTCTTTGTCTCATGGTTTCCAAAAGAATATATTCAGATAATATATATCTCCATCATTTTTTCAGTTCTTTTTCCTTCTTAGCAGAAGGGGTTAGCTTTTGGGTGGAGACATTAACAACAATTCATAAAGTCTCTGGTTTTCACTCTTCTGTAGTCCTTTGGGAAGGAAGTTAAGAAATACAGAAAGCTCTCAGGAGAGCCTTAGACCAATTCTATGAAAAGTTTGATCATTTTTCTAAAGGAAGGTATGTTTCAAAGAAAGCACATTACCAGAAATGAATGATCTTTGATTCAGTTTCATAACCAGTTTAAAATGCTAGTTTTATTTTCATGATTTTGAAATTCATTCAATGAACTTTTGTTGTTGTTAATCCTCACCTGAGGATATTTTTCCATTGATTTTTAGAGACAGTGTAAGGGAGGGAGAGAGACAGAGATAAACATTGATGTGAGAGAGACACATCAATTGAATGCCTCCTGCATGGCCCCAACCAGGGCCGGGTGTAACCTGCAACTGAGGTATGTTCCCTTGACAAATCGAACTGGGGACCCTTCAGTCCAAGAGCCAACACTCTACCTGCTGAGCCAAACAGGCTAGGGCTCATTCAGTAAACTTTCATTGAATATTTATTGTACAACACTTAACTTAGCACTTTTATTCATACTATTATTTGTATATTAAGCATTCTACTTACTAGACATTATAATCAAAATAATCTATTGGAAACTGTGTTTCCAGCTTGATTATTTTGTAATATTTCTACTTACATTTAATAATTGCACTTAATGTGACAGAATTAGGTCCTGTGTTTGATAAAATGAGTTATTTTAGTTTTTCATTTAAAATATGACATCATGACAACTCAGCAACTATAAAATGCCTGGTTAATTACTATGTAACTGTTATATAATTAGTATAGACTTCTTTTCTTTAAAAGCATACCTTGAAAGAAAATACTTTCCAGTAATTTTATTAAACAAAATTTTATAAATATTCTGAAGATACGTATTAAAAACTACTTGCTATAAGTTCTGACTGATACTTTTAATCTGTTCATTTTATACATATATGTGACTTTTGCTTATTCATTTATTTTAATAAATTATAGGGAAATATATTGGGAAGACACTTTATTTTGTACTTGGTTATCAGAAAAAAGTAACTAAATAATCATATTGCTTTTTCCACCATATATGTTATCTTGGAACACACAGATCTGTGTTTGTTTGCTTGCTTTGGCTTTCCTGTTAATCTTTCTCTTTTTTTTCCCCTGCTCATCTGTTTTGCTCCTCTTTTACTTACTTTTGTCCTAATCATTGCACAATAGGAAAACAGTTTGAAGTTAGCAATTAGTTTAAAAATTCTAAGAATGTAAAACAAATTATTCATTTGATTTCCTTAAAATTTTTATATTTGATTTTATATTACTGAGGAATATAACTTTTATAAAAATGAAGAGAACCTACTAGTATACTGTTCTGAAACCTTGACTCGAAAGTGATTGTTGTAATTGAATGACTCAAACAGGTAAAAAGAAAGTTTCCCCTGATAAGATGGTTGAAATGCAAGCAAAAATTGATGAAGAGAGAAAAGCACTTGAAACAAAGCTTGACATGGAAGAAGAAGAAAGAAACAAGGCTAGGGCTGAGTTAGAGAAAAGGGAAAAGGATCTCCTTAAGGCCCAGTGAGTATTACTGAATTAATGTAGATTTATGTTTTAAATTTCCGGTATTTTTCTGAGGACTTATGTATAAGGAAAAAAATTGAATAATAATTCGAAACTTGATTTTTATCTCCAGAGTAGCTATTTTTGAATAGAAGGTTTCATTGTGTATGTTGTATTTCTGAAAATTATATGTTTTGATTATTTCCTCTCTTTGTGGGAGGAAAAATATTTAAATGAATTTGATTTAATTGAGATCAACTCATACAGTAATGAATTATCCAGTGGTATAATTTGATAAAGATGTTGTATAACCATATTCCTATATTGAAATTTTGTATCCAAACTCATTAAATTTTGGTAATTGATATTGGTACAATAGTAGATAATTGGAGTATTCTAATTTTAATCAATAGACAAGAGCATCAGTCTTTGCTAGAGAAATTATCTGCACTGGAGAAGAAGGTAATTGTTGGTGGTGTTGACTTGTTGGCGAAAGCTGAGGAACAAGAGAAACTTCTTGAAGAATCTAATATGGAACTGGAAGAAAGGAGGAAAAGAGCAGAGCAACTTCGCAGAGAATTGGAGGAAAAAGAGGTATCTTTTTGGTTCTGGCTGACACTTTTTTCCTAGTGAAAAGCTAAATATAATTTTAGTAACATTGTAAAGCAGATCTGTGGGTTGCTTTGAATATGGCTGCTAAACATATTATTTGTTAAATAAATTTGTGATTTAAAGAATAAATTATTAAGTTTATCAATTTTACTCATAGCAAGAACGCTTGGATATTGAAGAAAAATATACCAGTTTGCAAGAGGAAGCACAGGGAAAAACCAAAAAATTAAAGAAAGTTTGGACTATGCTGATGGCTGCAAAGTCAGAGGTTGGTCTCTTAGAAATTACCAACTAATGTAGTTCTGAACTTAAAAAAAAAAAAATATATATATATATATATATATATATATATATTATTTTTTTTTTATTTTTTTATTAAGTATGATTAAGAATCTGAAAGGAATCATGGGTGCTTACAATTTTAAAGAAATAAAAATTTCTTCTTGATGTGCAGTTTTTAATTTTAGCTCTTAAATTTCTAACCTTAACTAATAATGTGAAAAAGACATTTTGAGGCCCTGGCCGATGTGGCTCAGTTGGTTGGAGCACCATCTTGTATATCAAAAAGGTGGTGGGTTCGAATCCCCATCAGGGTGCGTACAAGAGACAGCTGGTTAATATGTCTCTCTCTCGTCGATATTTTTGTCTCTTTCTCTCTCTCTCTAAAATAAAATAAAATAAGATAAATAAAACGACATTGTTAGTGTCATTCTGTCTATTGTTTTAGTGAAAGAACTGGGTAGGCTCTTACAGGGTTTCTATGTCAGATTGAACTATTTTGAATTTAAAATCTTGTTTGTCCTTAATATTTTCATTGATTTTCTCACAGATGGCTGATCTCCAACAAGAACATCAGAGGGAAATTGAAGGCCTGTTGGAGAACATTCGACAGCTTAGCCGGGAGCTTCGGCTTCAGATGCTTGTTATTGATAACTTCATACCTCAGGATTATCAGGTCAGAGGGATGTTCTCTGACTTAAATATCAGGTCACTTGGCTGGGGTTAAGAAAGAAGGAAATATAATTTGTCACTTAATTGGTGATAAATATGTACATTTCAGTTGTTAATGATAAAATTTTCTTGAACTAATGCCATAATATTTCACTTTAGCTGTTAACTTTTCTTAATACATAATTCTCTGTTTGAGTATCTAAGTATCTAGATAAGAAATTTCTCAGCCCCTTAGAGAAATTCGAATTCATTTATAGAAGGTCCTTAAATAATATGTTTTGTCATTGTCGTTATATCATTGATGAGAAAAAAAAATTGATTCCCAGTCAGGGCCACTGTCTGTATGGAGTTGGCATGTTTTACCTCATGTTTGAACTGGATAAGCCAATTGGAAAATAATTACCTTAATCTTTCATATATATATATATATATATATATATATATATATATATATAGCATTTATTTCAATGTTTAATATTAGTAGTTTTGAGTCTTTACTTAGAAGTTTTGTGATGTTTTTGTGACCAGAAATAGACACTTAACTCTTGTTTGTACCAATTAGCCTAAGATAAAATTGGTTTTATTATACATTATTTCCCTTAACATCACAGCTTCCAAGAACTGAACAAAACCTTAATGAGGACTTAATGTAATTGCAATCAGAATCAAGATATAGCTGCTGTTTATTCATTCAATGTCCTTTGTCCTATGAATAGAATAAGAACTCCTATTGGAACTTTTTCTCCCTGCTTATGGATGCTAATTGTGTGTGTGTGTGTGTGTGTGTGTGTGTGTGTGTGTGTGTGTATTGGGTGGGTGGGGGCAAAATATACATAACATGAAATGTACCATTTTAAGTATTTTTAAGAGTACAATTCACTGACATTAAGTATATTTAAAATGTACAACCATCTTTATTTTCTATTTCCAGACAAATGCTAATCCTTAATACTATTGTAATATAATTTAAGAATCTCAGCTTCTATTTTTCCTTACTCAAAATATTCATTTTTCTAGTACATTTTAGTAAACTTTAACATATTGATTTTTTAAAATTTACTTTGAATTTCTATACAGCTGTAAGCAGTTTGTCTAAAATGTACCAGACAAATGTACAAGCCGTAGTATTTTTCCTTTGAACATCAGGTGTATAGAATTAACCTTTGGTTCTTGGTACACTCTCCTTATTGGCCCTGGAAGGCCTCCCTTGATTTAATTTGTTACTTTGTAGTGAACTCATCACCCCAACCAAAAGCTAGGGCCATTATAGTAACTTACTTCCAATCAAATGGTTCCCTCTCCCTCTCCCATCCCTTTGCCTCTTCCAACTCAAGGTAACTTTCATTCTGAATCATGTTCTTCATTTCCTTGCTTTTTATTTTTATATAGTTTAATTGCATCTACATATATTTTTTAAAAGCATATATTTTAAAATTTATGACAAGTATATCATGCAGTACATAATTGAGACAAAATTTCCCCTATAATTTATTAAGATTTTAGTTTCATGAATATTTTTCAGTATTTTAACTGTTATTAAATATTAAAAGTAGACTATCTTTGACTCTTAAAAGGAAATGATTGAAAACTATGTCCATTGGAATGAAGACATAGGAGAATGGCAGCTAGTGAGTATTGCCTTCCTCTTTTCATGGGATACTTGTGGAGTGCTACCTGTAGATCAGGAATTTTGCTGGCTCCAGTGGGGGGAGAGGTGGTCCATAGGATGGATCAGAGGAGAATCCAGTAGGATGGAGATGTTTTTCTAATTAACTATATTATAATACGCAGAATATTCCGTGGAAATAGCATGGGCAGGGATACATAGTACTAAATGACTTCCAGGTCCCTTTCTGTTCCAGCATTCAAATCACGTTTCGTGAGTGTAATCCGTATATCTCACAATAATTTGCTAAGTCACAGTATTAATTGCTAATGAAAACAATTCTCTGTCTCTTTTTCCCCCCACAAGAAATGTGTTGCCTACACAGGAAATAACATGAGGAAGCAAACTCCAGTTCCTGATAAAAAAGAGAAAGATGTAAGAGTGCTTTTTAAAAAAAATTACAGTGTAAAATATTTATAGGGCTGTGAGTCACTAAATTACGTGATCAACATGAAATCAATCGGCTGTGCTAAAGAAGTAGGTTGGTCTTTTGGGAAGAGAGGGTCTTGGATGGGGCGATTGTTAGGACAGTTCGGCTCACCTGCAGCTGTGAGGGCAGGCTGAGTTCCACCACCACAGAGTGGCATGGGATCTTCTTCTCACCACCTTTCTGGGTTATGGGGATGTGTTTAGCGACTAGAATGTCCTTTTCTTTTTTTTCTTTTTTAATATATTTTATTGATTTTTTTACAGAGAGGAAGGGAGAGAGATAGAGAGCTAGAAACATCGATGAGAGAGAAACATCGACCAGCTGCCTCTTGCACACCCCCCACCGGGGATGCGCCCACAACCAATGTACATGCCCCTGACCGGAATCCGCAGACCGACGCTCTACCACTGAGCCAAACCGGTTTCTGCTGGAATGTCCTTTTCAAAGCTAGTCTTAGTCTTAGGTCCACAAGAGGAGATATGGCTTTAGGGAAAGCAGCAACAGTTCTGCTTTCCTGCTGAGGAGTTTATGGTGTGTCAGGGCTCACTCACCAACCCGCGCTGAATGCATTTGAGATAAATGGAGTTAAAGAAAGTATCTTTAGGTATTTGTTTCAACTTGTCTTCTGTGGCTCTTTCTAGAGTTTATTCATTGTTTTAAATCTTTCCCCAAATCTGATTTGTCTGGTGTTGGTTTCTTAGCCCTTTGAAGTGGACCTTTCCCACGTGTATCTTGCCTATACCGAGGAGAGCCTGCGGCAGTCCTTGATGAAACTGGAGAGGCCACGGACTTCAAAGGGGAAAGCAAGGCCAAAGACAGGGAGAAGGTAAGACTGTCTTAGCATCCCACGAAATCAAGGCGGTGAGATGCTAATTAGATATATTTAAAGGAAATTTAGTTAAGATGATAAATATTTTGGCTGATAGACAAATGTACACATTAAATGATTTATTGATATTACATTACATGATAATGTTCAATGTATGTTTCTCATTAGAAATGCATAATTCAGTGTGCTAAGCAAAATTGCAATAACACGGTACATTAATGTAGTGTTTATATCAGTCCCTACATGTGCATTTGTACTGTATTGCCTCAGATGAATATGGTCTTTTGAATAAACACGCACCTTTAGCCTACGCTGGAAGAGATCATCAGCAGTAAAATCTGGCAGGCATGCAGCCACTGGGCCTGGCTGCGTGGTCTGGTCCAGTTTTGGAAATTATCACCTACTCAGTTTCTCTCCGCCTGGGTGGAGGGAGGAGAGCCATGATCTAGCACCTATTCTTGGTGGCCTTTCCCGAGCCTGGAAAAGTGGTCAAACGTCAAACCTTGGCCTGGTTCTAGACTCTATGCCCCGCTTGTTTTATCTTCTTCATAATGTAAAGTGTTTGCATTCCAGACTTTTAGGGAAGTCTTCATGTTTTCTTTGTCTCTTCTCCAAACAGAAAGCGTTCTGCAAAGCCTGAAACTGTAATTGACTCTTTACTTCAGTAAATGTTACAGACTTAAAGTCTCAATAAAAAGTAGTGATATCCATGCCTGGACAAAATATCTCATTAAACACTGAAGACTTTTGTGTAATTTCAAGTAATGAAAGCTGTAAGTCATGAAGTAAGACTGGAACTAGTAATCTAATAACTTTTAGTCTATATATGTCAATATAATATTGAAATTGCACAACTGGTAATTGTTCAAATAGTCATATTACTCTTCGTTTTATACTATGCAGAGAAGTTGGGGGAGCAGCTCCTACTACAGAGAGTTGCTGTTCAAATATATTCATAAGTCTGCTAGTAATTTGCTCAACTACTGTACATTTACGTAACTGGATATTCAAAATAGAATAAAATGTAGGTCCTGTCTTGCACTTAGACAGCAGTTCTAATTGTCCTATGTTTTGCTGTTATATATGAATGTATGGACTGCATATCTAAGAAATGATTCAATCCTGACGCCCGCCGGCCTGTTCAAATATGTTCTCATTTTTGTGTTATCTTTATTGCATTTTAAGTATAAGATGACCTGTACATCAATCTTTAGATGTACACATTTAAAAAACAAAAGTTGAAAATATGTTTCAACTGTACCTCTCTTGACTATTTTTGCCATTTAGAGTTCAAATCAAATATACTTTTGTTCTGATTTTATGCTGTTATAAAACATTGAATATGTACTTAATTATAAAGGAGTCACAGTTGCAGAAAATTAAGCTAAATACTGGTCACTAGCCTTTGCTGTATGTGTATATATTTAAAAATTCTTTTTGAAGTGTGATTAATGGATGCTTTCCTTTGAGTTCTAAATTGTGATGAAAATTTAGTCTCCGTTTCCCAGAAAGTACAACTAAAGCAAGAAAAATAGCTTTTATTTTTTTCATTTTTTTTAAAAGAAAAATAGCTTTTAATCCTTTGCCGTTAAAATACTTAGTTTTGTTTTTTCCTTTAAAGTTTATTAAAAGAAAATATTCTTCCCTGAATTTCTTCCATTGACAAATCCAGTTAGACCATCTTCCTCTAAAAATAAAAATAATATTTATTTTATAGTACAATAACTTGTAATAGGAAGAATTGTGTTTTCCTTGTTGGCTGCTTACAAAATTTTTGTTTTTATTTTTTTAATGTTATGTTACACCTATACCACTTAATACCGGTATATCTTTTGTGAATTTTAAAATAAATTAGTATTAAGTTAACATTAGTTTAAGAAGTTTGGTTAAATGTTTTATAATTACAAAGCCATGTATAGAGTGGGGTTGAGTAAAGGTGGTGTACTTGTGAGGTGGTAGTAAAAATATGTCCATAAATTTAAAGTAATTCCAAAGGTGTGTTTTGAATGTCCTGTGTGTGGTGCATATTTTCTAGGTAATAAGAATTGCATTTAACTGGTAGTGTTTTCTTTGTAGTATGTAAGATAGAAGTTTATAACTTTGTTCTGTGAGGCAACTGTCTACTACTGTGAAGACTTGAGGTGAATACGTGTTTTGTAAGAGCTTTGTGTAAGCAGAGTATCTTGGCAATTGTAGATGCACATTTAGCTGTTAGTAATTACTCTAGGGAAATCTTAATTTTACCAATAGAAAGAAAAGGTGAATACTTCTTCCTTTTGGAAGTTCATGTGTATCACCTTTAATCATCTAGTTAATAAGAAAGGAATAGCATTCACATTAAGCTCTGAAACAGCACAGAAAACTTAAGCCAGTATGTTGGGTTGTTTTCTATTCCACTCCACTTCGGTAACAAAAAGAAACTTATAAAAAGTCAAAGCATTAAATAAATTTTTTAAAAATATGCTACTTTAGCAGTTTTTTAAAAAAGCATTTACATTAGAACTGATTATACCAGATGGACAATAATTACTCATCTTTTGAAATACCAAAATCATATATTTAGGCAGGCCTGACTAATCTATGGACACTGACTTGACATTGATTCACTTAGGTCCAATCATAGCAGTTCTATAGTTTCTTCACACTTACTGTGTCTTTGTGCACAAATAAAATATTATATAACTTCAGTGTTAATTTCATATAAGGATATAGATAAACAAACTTGCTCATTATTTGAAATAGACATAAAATGAGTGGCACATATAAATAGGTTTTTGAATGGGTCTTTTCTCTTTAATTTTAAAAAGTGTTATTTATTTATTAAAAGGGGCCTTGGTAGAATGTTATTTGTTGTGGTATATTCTTTAATAAACCCTGTAATTATATATACTGATAGTTAGGATATTAAAGTATCATAGTATTCCTCATTTTTGTTTAGGTGCTTGTAAAGTATAAGGTTACTCAAGGAGGGAGGTCTGAATCCATGTGTTTATCCCACAAATAGGATCCGTTTGATAAGCTGTGTCATCTACTTTCTAGGAAAAGGGACCTTTCTTTTGTAGCAAGTGATTTAAGGTCACTTGGGATTGGGGGTTGGGAGTACTACTTCATCTGTAATATTTTTTTAAAATTATGATTGTGATTTTTGAGTTTTGTTTCTTCATAGTCTTTTAAAAATGTCTTTCTCTTTAACTCTTGAGGAACGTCCCTCTCTTTCCTACAGGCTGTGGATTAAGGAATCGGTGGGGTGTACATGTTAGTACTCCAGTGCCTGCCCAGTTGCTTACTAATATATGCACTTGTTTTCCTTTTTAGCTATTTTTAATTTAAAATGCTAGAACAAAACATAGATCTTCCTAGTGCCTTTGAACTTATACTATAGTCTGACTAGTTTAAATCATTAATAACTTCATAGCATTGCTACAATACTGTATACTGGCCTAAATTACAAATTGTTCAATAAATTTGTTGCATTAATTTCAAAAGCCACACTTCCATTGTATTTTATATATAAATTGTATTTGTTCAAGTTGTACATATTGTTATTGTATATACATGTGCAGCATGGTTAAATAAGAAATAAAAATGTTTACATAATGCCTGTAGTAGTGATCTGCTTCTTTATTGAACTATTTTGTGTTTATGTCCATCCTGATATCAACAGGCAGTTTTTTGTACTTGGCATCTCAGTTTCAAGTCGTTAAGAGAGGCCTGTTTAGCCCTAGTCTGTGGTTAGAGCATTGGCCTGCAGACTAAAGGGTCCTGGTTTGATTCTGGTTAAGGGCACATACCTTGGTTGTAGCCTCTGTGGGAGAATGTGCTCGGGAAACAACCAATCAGTGTGTGTCTCACATCGATGTTTCTCTCAGTCTCTCCCCTCCCTTCCACTCTCTAAAAATCAATGAAAAAAATATCCTCGGGTGAGGATTAACAAGAGAGAGACCTGTTTAATCTCACACCCAGAAACTCATGCTGGTGTGAGTCTTTAACAGAAACTGGGAAGAGAGATTTTTAAATGTGCTTCTCAGTGATGAAATTTGTTTTCACCAAAAATATTTTTAGCCAAGTTTTGTTATTTTCATTAGTGTTTGAGGACAGAACGTAAAGAAGTATGTGTGCAGAATGTATCTCACTAAAAGGTAAAAGACGTTTCTGAGTGGTGGCAATGTCATGATCTCTTTACAATTTTAATGAGATTAAAATATCTCCAAAACAATAACATTGCTTGGGTTGGTGTTAATCATGGGTTCTTTTGATAACTGCTTAGTGATTACCAAGCACATGCAGAGCCTTACAGTCACAGGGGGTCCAGAAGTTCTGATTTGTTGGCAAGTTTCAGAGGATTTACATGTACTGTGTGCAGAGGAGAGGGCCTTTCGCGGCTCGCTCTCTTCCTTGTCCCGACTGCTAGCTTCTGTGAACTCTAATTTGTGTGTAGAACATGGAGATAAAACTAAAGGCCTGCCCTGGCATCAGCAGCATGTTGTCCGTCCCATCTTATGAAAACGCTCAGAAATCAGAGCAGAAACCCCCGGGTCGGCCTAAGGGACCTCAGGGGCCTGTGCTCCGGGGAGCAGTGACGGGCTCGGAAGCCACAGCTTAAGCCAGCCGAGCCTTGGAGCACGTGTGCTACAACATTATCTGAATGTCACTCTCCAGCCGTTACATTTGCAAAGCAAATCAGATACTCGGTCCTCCTTCGGAAGCTGAACAAATGTGTGGGAAAGTGATTACGAAGAGGCTACTTCAAAAAGAACCAGTTTCCTCTCAGCGTTTATCTTGGGCTTCCTGTGACCCGATCTTCAAGCTCCTTTTATCAACGTTATCAGAACATCACTCTGTCTTACCCAAACACGTTTATGGCACTGACTAAAGAATATGGCAGATCAGACATCCTTCCACACCTGCTCCCCACCCCCATCCCTGTTTTGAGGGCGGGGGAAATTTTAGTTTTTAATCAAAGGCTTTATTTCTCCAATTGTACAAAAGGAATTTGACTGGGTCTTTACAACTAAATACACTATGTCTCAGAGTTGATACCAATCTTAGCCAGAGGATATTGCCTAACTCAACCTAAAGGTACAGAGTCATTACAGAAATCCTGGGCTGACCTTGATTTCTCCTCCGTCCTAAGTTATGCCACTCCGTCACCAGGTGTCCTCTGGATTTGCCGTGTACCCACCCTGCGCTGTGGCCATGTACATGGAGAATGAAAGCACATGTGGAGGGCGGTCAGAGAGGAGGGTGAGGAGCGAGCTGCCAGGTGTGGCATTCTTCCCGGGCAGCTAACACGGTGCTGGCACACGTCTGCCTGACCAAGAGGCCAGGAAAGGCGGCTCCTCCAGGGAACTGCTGTGGGAGGTGGGAGCCAACAGGCAGGGAAAGGCAGTCCGGGTGTGAATCCTGATGCCCTGTGCCTTGGTGGTAAGTTTGAAGTTGGGTGAAAGGGGTGGGGAGCCTGAACAGGAAAGGGGGGCCAGGCTCCTGCTGTGAGTTTTTTGCAAGCAGCAGGAAGCCACGGACGGATTTCAAGAGTTGTGTTTTGAAGAAAATGCTGCTGGAAAGATGGTGAAGGATTAGATGGGGCGCTGGGAGGCCAGATAATGTCACACTGTATGATGATGTCATACTGTGTGATGATGATGTCACACTGTGTGTTGAAGACCGCACTGGCTGTGAGCCAGAGGAGCCAGCCTCCCTCTCCTCTGCTGGCTCTCACACTGCGCTGGTACCTCCATGACGAATACCTGTACCTTCACTTCTTACACTGCCCAGCAGTCATCCAGGGTGCGGGCAGCACACACAACATCACTTGCTTGTGTTTGGTTTTACCCTGGCTGTTGGGAACAAGAAAGGGATAGACTGCTCAGAGACTGAAAGCCAGACTAGGAAGGAGTGGCCAGGAAGGATGCGTTAGAAGAGAAACTTCGGAGAGCTGGAGAGAGGATGTCAGTGCTGGGGCAGAGACCGGCTCAGGAAACACTGGGATGACAGGAACAGGAGATTCCCCCCGGGGAACGGGAGCTCTGATGAGCTGACAAGTTGAACCAAGAAGCAGCCCTGAGACTAGAGTAAATGATCGCCTCGCCTGTGGGGAAGCTGGCAGGCACTGAGGAGCTCACCTTGCCCGCTCAGAGGCCCCCTGTGCCCTGCTTCCTGAGAAAGCTGTGCAAGCATTCCGCCCCAGGACTCCTCCGCCCCAGATGGTCTGGGCACCCTGAGAGGCCGGCAGGTAGGATGTGGAGAAAGGTGGGGGGAAACGGCCCGGTTACCGGATGGATGCATCCATCCATAGCAGCAGCAAGAGGCCAACATGTCTAATTGGGCCAAGAGTGTTTCAGTCAAAGTCAGTCGGCCATAGATGGAGTGAATTGTGTTTTTTCTTTTATTAGGTTGCCTGGTTGTTGTTTTTTTAAAATTACAGATTATATTCAGTATTTTTTCTTTCAGTTTCAGGGGTACAGCACAGTAGTTAGATAGTCATTTACAAGGTGATCCCCTTGATATTTCCAGGACCCACCTGGCAACATGCCTCGTTACTACAATATTATGGACTGCACATCCCCGTGACTGTTTGGTACCAATTTGTGCTTTTTAATCCCTTCACCTTTTTCACCCAGACCCCCACCCACCTCCCCTCTGGCAACCATCAGTTTGTTCTCTGTATCTATGAGTCTGTTTCAATTTTGTTCATTTATTTTATTCTTTAGATTCCACATATAAGTGAAACAGAAACATTTTTTTCTTTCATTGATTTGTTCAATAGGTATTTGTTACTTACTAATGCCAGTTAGAGATACAATATCGTCACAGGTAAAAGGTAGGAGGTAGCTGCTAGCTGGAGGAAGGGGTTCAGCCTTCAATGTCACCCATTTCGCGCACAGGCAAGAGGCGCATTGCATGAAGCAGGCATGGGTTGTGGCTAAGTTTCCTAAGTGAACGTGCTCACATGACAAGCATCTCAACTTTCACTTAATCCTGAAGTTTCTTCACTCACACTTCTGATGTGTAGCCTCAATTCCTGTTGTCTCACTCCCTCGGTAAACAAGGGCTTATTGTTGGGTGTTTCCATCCAGGGCCCAGCGTCACCTGTCAGGAAGTGAGTAGCGTTAGTTGCATCTTAACCATGAAGCTTATCTTATGACAGACCTGCCCGGAGTCTGCCTATGTCCTTTCTGTGGCCCTATTCTAAAATACCTCTTCCCCACAGCCCCTCTTTTACCACGGGCCTCGTGCACAAACTGCAGCCCACAACCCATATCCTGTGGCAGACTACAGCTCACATTAGCCATTGAATGCAAATGTGCCTCAATCAAAGAAGAAGGGAAACTAACATTTCAGTGGGGCCTTCAAGGCTCCATGACTCTTAGTTACTGGTTGCCCTTGGCATGCTGGTATTTTATGTGGGCAGGGTGAAACTGGCTGTGGTCAGGGTGAGACACTAAGCTTTTGATTTGTTCCCTTGTTTTGAAAGAGTTAAAAAGATGTTGCATGTGTTGGTATAATTTTTGTAGTAGTATTAATTTTTATCACATGGGTAAGGGAAGATGAAAAGAGTGCTCATTCACTGTTTTAGATCCACATTCTTGCAGGGAACATGTCTTCAAAAGGCAAGTTTCAATGACTTGACACTTATTTTCTTCCCCTTTAATTTTTAAAAATAACAGTTTTATTGAGATACTAGAGGCCCGTTGCACGAAGATTCATGCAATAGGCCTTCCTTCCCCTGGCTGCTGGCACTGATTTTCCTCCGGCATCCGGGACCCAGGCCTTCGCTCCGTCTACAGCAAGGCTAGGCTTCTCCACTCAGCTGTAGCAGAGAAGCCAAGCCTCTTCAGTCTTCAGTTTTCCCTCCATGCCTGTATATGCAAGTTAACCCGCCATTTTGTTGTGTTAACTTGCATACCCACTCCTGATTGGCTGGTGGTCATCGTGGTGGCCTGGTCAATTTGCATATTTCTATTTTATTAGTGTAGATAACTTATATACTAGCAACCAATATTCTACGTTTTGCCTCTATGGATTTGCCTCTTCTGGAAGTTTCATATAAGTGGGATCATACTATATGTGGCCTTTTGTGTCTGGCTTCTTCCACTTAGCATAATGTTCCCAAGGTTCATCCACACTGTAGCATGTGTACTTCATAAGAATACTTTGTGGTATGGACATACCACATTTTGTCTATCCAGTCGCTCGTTGACTGACAGTTGGGTTGTTTCTGATTTTTTGTTATTATGAGTAATGCTGCTGTGAACTTTGGATAAAGGTGTTTGTGTGGGCGTGTGTTTTCTGTTCTCTTGGAAAGAGACTGAGGGTTGGAATTGCTGGTCCTGTAGTAACTAAGTTTAGCCTTCTGAGGAGCTGCTGCAGTTTCCCAGAGTGCCTGCGCCACTTTCCAGTCACACCAGCAATGCCTGAGAATTCCAGTTTTTCCACATCTTTGCCAATGTTTGTGATCACCTGTCTTTTTAATTTTAGTTTTTTTAATGTTTAAAAACATGTTATTTGTGTACATGGGTACACACAGATTTAAAATAAAAAGCCAACTGCCTTCTCCCTTGCTTTAACCCTTCCTTACCCAAGTCCCATTCCCAACAAACTCCTTCCTTTTTTTTTGTAGTACTTAGTTTTTCTGATGGCTATCATGGTAATACCAATGATCTCTTTATTCACTCACTATTTATTTTCTTCTCACTTTTTATTATAAGAACTTTCAAATATGTATAAAAGTAGGGTAGTACAATTAACCTCCATGTTAGCTAACATAATCAACTCATGACCATTCTTTTTTTTTTTTTTTTTTTTTATAATATATTTTATTGATTTTTTTAAAGAGAGGAAGGGAGAGGGAGAGAGTTAGAAACATCAATCAGCTGCCTCCTGCACACTCCCAACTGAGGATGTGCCCACAACCAAGGTACATGCCCTTGACGGGAATGGAACTTAGGACCTTTCAGTCCACAGGCTGATGCTTTATCCACTGAGCCAAACCAGTTAGGGCTCATGACCACTCTTGCCAACTATTTTTTGATTTATCAGCTTCAGATATGTATTGGTTTCCTTATTGGAAAGTGAGGGTTTACCTCACTTACTTTACCGTTCCAAATGTTTTATAGTAAACTAGAGATCTGGTGCACAGCCTGGCCTGTGCCCTCTCACAATCCAGGATTCCCTGGGGATACAGCAGTGTGCCAAGTGGTAGGCGGCCAGTGAGAAGCCCAAGCTGGGTCAGGCACCTTGCCACTTGCGCTCATCCCAGCCGGCTGTGCCTGCCGCTTCCCGGTAGCACTGCCATTGAGTGGGGAGGGGCTCCCACCACTGCCGCTGTGCTGGCCAGCCATTAGCCCGGCTTCTGGATGAGGGCACTCCCCCTGTGGGAGCACACTGACCTCCAGGGGGCAGCTCCTGTGTTGAAAGTCTGACCCCTGATGGTCAGTGACCAATTGTTCGGTCGGACTGGTCATTTGGGCGTAACGGTTGCTTAGGCTTTTATATACATAGAAGATTATTTTTAGATCTTCTATTACCTTTGCAATTTTGAATCAATACTTGTTCTCATTCTATCAGCCTTAGACAGTATTGCTTAATGGACCCCGTCGCTGAGTGGGTGGGGATATTAGGTCCCCACCTCTCATTCTTTCCCTCCTCTTTTACCTCTCAATTATATTCAGTATACCTTCTATTGTGTCAGGTTAGTAGCACTTATAGTCTGTTCTGTAACCATAATTCTTCTGTGCTTTGTTGATTCTATGACTTGAGAATCAAGATAATTTACATTATTAGAGCTTTAGACATGATTCACTGCAGAGCCATGCAGTGCGATAGAATTCCTTTCCCCTGGAGTCTCAGGAACAGCCCTGTGCCAATGGGAGAAGCACCAGGGGACACCTCTTCCATTCGGGCCTCGTGGGCCCACTCTGCAGCTCTCTCTCATCACCTATGTCTTACGTGGACTTGTGATCTCTAATCATTGTGTGCGTTATGTCCGCAGCTGGAGAGAGCAAAGACATCTTTCCTTTTTTGCTTCCCTACTAGCTTCTCAGCAAATTAAATTGGTTTCCCCAAAAGTTGTCAGGTAAGGTGCCATTGTGAGTAAAGAGAAACCTTGCTGTCAGATTATACATATACTTTATTTTATGACAAGTTATAAATATATAAATATTTTTAAAATAAGGCTATTAAAAACTCATAAATTAAAATATTCAGCTCCAACTCCTTGAGTATTTCGCTTGCATGATGCTCTTTAACCTTTGCAAGAAGACTTTCAGCGTCGTCATCGTGGCTTCGTTCACAGGACAGGAGGTCTACAAAGAAAGCATTTCATTAGCTTGTGTTGCTAAATATTCGAGCCTTGCTGCCTGTTTCCAGTCTCTGCCTTCGGGGTGCCGCAGTGTCTGGGACGTGTGTCACACACCGCTGGGTGCTGCTCAGGGCCTACCGTGAAGGTAGAGGCTGAGACCTACCCACTGCTGTCCCGGGCCTGGGCTGCTGAAAGGGTCAGTCCGTCTCCCTCCTGCCCAATAAGAGCAACCACACCGCGTGCTGCATGCCAGGCAGGAAGGATTCCAGGTACTTGCCACCAGGCCCCTGCTTCAGCCTGGGCCTCAGCTCTACCAGCTTATTGATTATATCACTTCGGACAAACATTTCATTTATAGAACACTTCGGTTTCCTCTTTTGTAAAATGGGGAAAACAGTGAGAATTTTGTAAGGTGATGAAGAGGATTAGGAAAGAATTGAGTGTAATGTCAGCTTCCGCATCCGTCACCTGATCTTATAGATAAGGTGACCGGCCCAGAGAGGGGTGAATGTCCCCAGTTCCTCTTCTTGGCACTAGATAACGTCCACTCTTGGCACAGTGCCCCTCTTTCCTGCCCTGTCAGCTCTCCCCTTTCACCGGGCTGTTCCCATTGGTACATCCACGTGCCCACCTTCAAAGAACTTCCCTCACTCTGTACCTGCCCTTCAGCTGTTGGTCCATTTCTCTGCAACCTTACAGTAAAACACCTCAAAGACTCTTCTGTGCTCATCACCCCTCCTCCTCACCACTCCCCGCCCATTTCTACTGATCCCACTTCAGTCAGCCTTTCATTCCCACGTCTCCATTTATATCAGCTTTGCCGATGCCCCCCCGTCGTACCAAATCCCAGGGCCCTCCCCGTTTTCATCTTACTTCACCTTCCAGTGATCTGACACAGTGCTCACGCCCTCCTTCGCTTGCCTCCTGGGGCACCACACACTCCCCTTTCCTGCTGCCTCACCGCTCCTCCTCCTCAGTCTCCTGGTCCTGGCCCCCTGAGCTCTGAGTGAGTGCCGCTGGGCTCAGCACTTCCTTCTCTCTGTCCTCAGGTCCATCTTCCTGGGGACTTTACTTTATATAACTAACAAGTTCTAGCCTGTCCCCTCAGCTTCAGATTTTTCCAACAATCTTCTCAGCATCTCTGTTTGGCTGTCCAGTAGGCACCTCAAACTTACCAGGTAGAAAATTAACCTCCTGAACTGCTCAATTTCTCGCCCGCTTTGCCCCCACTCTTCCCTGTCTGTAAGCTCCAACCATCCCCCAGGGGGCTCGGGCCAAGCACCCAGAGGCCCCTGTTCACTCGCTCCCTCACACCCCTCACCAGGGATCTGTCAGCAAGTCCTTCTGGGTCTATTTTCAGTTACATCCCAAATCTAACCACTCTGCTGCTCCCACCCTTTCTAGACCACCACCATCAACCTCCTACAGGCCTTCTTGTTCTCCACGTCCCCCTATTCAGTCCACCACGCAGTAGCCAGAGTGAACTTTTTAAGTCACAAAAATCAGATGGTAGTCTCTGGTCTCTGTCCTGCTCAAAACCGGGTGGGTATTTCCCACCATATTGGGGCAGAGTCCAAAGGCCCAGGGTGATCTGATCTCCTGCTAAAATCCCCTGCTCACTCTGGTCCAGGCGCCCTGGCCTTTCTACCGCGCTTTGAACACATGAAGCTCACTTCTGCTGGAGGGCCTTTGCCCGGCTGTCCCCCTTCCCCTCTCTCCTCTTCCCTCCTCGCCCCCCTCCCACGCCAGGAAAGTTCTTTCTCCAGTCAGTTACGAGGCCTGCTCCCTCACGTAATTTAAATCCTGCTCAGATGATGTCACCAGCTCCTCTTCCTCATAACCCCCGTGTTCTTTATTCCTATGATCTTCGCAGCACTTATCCCGCTGGGCATCACGGGCATGTAGTCTGCTTTTCTTGTCTCTGCCGCTAGAACATTCTGAGGACGGGGACTCTGCCGCCTTCTCCCTAGTACCGTTCCCCAGCGCCTAGCAGCACCGGCCTCACAGAGCCTCAGCCAGTACTTGTTGGACGAATGGACCGGCTGGTTAACGGGGCTGCCACGCATGGGGAACAGGGAGGCGTGAAGGTGCCGTCCGCCGGGGGCCCGCTGCCCGCATGACGCAGCTTACCTTGCTGGCCATGCTGCTGAGGTTCCTGTCAAGTCCGCTCAGAATCCTCTTGGTGGAGCACCTGTGGCGCCTGTAGACCTGCCGGAGCACCGTGGCGGCCCTGCAGAAGGTCTCCTCCTCCATGGTGTTCTGGAAAGAGAAACGCCAGACAGTCGTACGCTAGCTCTGTTCTGCACACGGGAGAGGTTTCTCCTCCCGCTTTCTGGTCTCCAGGAAGAGATGATGATGGCAGGTGAGCTCAGACACGGGCCAGGTGTTCACGGATTCTTGCCATGGGAATGAGGTTGCTTACCACAGCCATAACCTCTACCAACAACTTCTCTCCCTCCCCGTTATCGGCAAATTCAGCAGCGTTTTCCTCAGACTCTCCCGGTTTCCTTTCTCTTAGAGGGTTTTGCTGAAAGGATGCCTAACAAAGTCACTCAGCTGAGGGGAGAACACAGTGAGGATCTGAATGCAGATCCATCTGCCTGGGCCCAGGTCCATTTCTTTCTGTGGAAGGTGCCCACGTGAGCTCACAGCCATTCCTACGGGGTTCGAGAGCCGTGCTGAACAGCTGGATGCCCATCCTCCGCCTGAACACTTGGCTGTGCCCCGGGAGACAGCCGTGTGTGTGTAAACTCGGTTCCACGTGAGGAGATGAGACATTGCCCCGCAGCTAGGTAGGTGCCAGGATCCTGGTAAGGAATCTGGCCTCGGGCATCAGGGAGCATCTGAGAAAGGGTGCCATTGAGCTGGGCCTCGGACAGGGCTCCAGTCGGGGGCTTGTGACCTTGCATGCACATGGTCAGAGCCTCCTGGGAATACCGGCAGCTCTGGCCAATGCCTCTTTCTGGGACGTTGGGGCCTCAGAGGCGGGAATGTATTTCTCTCCTCTAGGGGGTATTCATCTGAGAATCTCCTCCTGGGAGATTGCTGTGGCAGGGACTGCATAGCTCTAACTTGGCTCTTCACCAGCTTCGTTCAGGGCTGAAAAACGTCAGTCCCATTTGTGTCGTATCAGCTATCTCCACTTCTGCCCAGATTTGGTGAGCCAGTGCTGTGTCTAAAAAAATCCTTCACTTTCTCCTTAAAAAAAAAAATAATTGAGGGTCGACATAGAGCTTTCTGCACATTATGAACTTGAGCTCTCTTTGGTGGGAAACACCTTCACAGACCAGCAGCTGGCTTTGCACTTTGCTCTTCCTCAGGCCCTGAACTCCACGGGCACCGGCCGGCACTGCCTGTGAGGCCCGGGACTTAGATCGGCACATTCTTGCCAGCAACTGCCCAGAGCAGGATGTTATCCAGCAGGGAGATACGGAAATTTCTGATTCTCAAAAGAAATGAAATTAAGACACTATGTCTCAGAAAGCCATTTCTCTTCAGGAACACAAGAAAGTAACGTTCCCTCCCACATATCACCTCCGTGGCTTTTAGAAAGAACCGCCTTTCCTTGTTCTGAAATATCCTCCTAGCTAAGTAAGCACTGTGTCTTGAGGAAAAGAAGAGAAAGGAAAGTGAGGTGGTCAGTCAGGAGGGACAGAAGCAGGCCAGGGGCGTGGGCGGCGGGAGGGTGGAGTGGAGGAGTGTCTGCCTGTGTGCTGAGGGAGGTGTGTCAGAGCCGAATGCAGGGAGGGCCCGGATGGGAGGAGAGCAGCGTGGCCAGGCCTGCACCTCAGTGGGCTGAGGGATGGCCCAGAGACGGGTCCCTGGACTTGAAAGGTTTGATCATTTCCAACCACCATCTCATCCCTCCTAGAATTATTGCTTCTCTACAACCAGTTTGTTTGTTTTTTTGTCTTTCACCAAGAATTGAAGCAGCCGAAACCGGTTTGGCTCAGTGGATAGAGCGTCGATCTGCAGATTGAAAGGTCCCAGGTTCGATTCCGGTCAAGGGCATGTACCTTGGTTGCAGGCACATCCCTGGTGGTGGTGGTGGTGGGGGTGCAGGAGGCAGCTCATCGATGTTTCTCTCTCATCGATGTTTCTAGCTCTCTATCCCTCTCTCTTCCTCTCTGTAAAAAAAAATCAATAAAATATATTAAAAAAAAGAGTTGAAGCATCTTACAATATCACTTTCCACTAACTCAAGAGTTGGATTCCAACCAACTTTTAAAATCACTTTCATTTCTTCAGATGTAGAAACTGAGGCACAGAGAGGTGTGGAGACTTGCCAAAGGCCATTCAACTAGTTAATAGCAGAACCAGGGCTAAAACCACAGACCTTCTCACTCTCAGACCCTCTGCACTCCCTTCGGGGGCCTGCCCTTGGCTTTGGCAGAGCTCTCTCGGCAATGTAGCTGCCCTCTGGGGAGCCCCAAGCACACCGCTGTGGGCTCCTGGTTATTTTATTTACTTACACACACACACACACACACACACACACACACACACTAACATACAGGGTGAGGTAAAAGTAGGTTTACAGTTGTTTGTATGGAAAATAATAATATAAGAATATAAGAATGAATTCGGTATTTCACATACAACTATAAGCTTACATTTGCCCACCCTGCATATAATTTTATAGGTATATAAAATCTCCGAGTCCTTCCATCCTACTGATAGACAGAGTCTGATATATAATGAGATTCTGAAGGACCAAATTTTTATATATATATATATATATATATATATATATATATATACACACTTACATACTATACACTTATTTTATATAATGTTATATATAATTCTATTATGATACTATATATTACTGTACATCAGATTCCTGGAATAATTTTTTTTTTAAATAGATGGTTTTTCTTTTGCTTTCTTTTTTTTTTAAATATATATTTTTATTGATTTTTTACAGAGAGTAAGAGAGAAGGATAAAGAGTTAGAAACACTGATGAGAGAGAAACATCCATCAGCTGCCTCCCGCACACACCCCACTGGGGATGTGCCCGCAACCAAGGCACATGCCCATGACCGGAATCGAACCCAGGACCTTCTAGTCCGCAGGCTGATGCTCTATCCACTGAGCCAAACCGTTTTCGGCAGATTCCTGGAATAATCTCTGATGAAATGAGGTATCCAGATAAAGGCCCAAAGAGTAGTTTTTCTCGTGACGGAGGACGGGCCTGGGTGCGGCCTCGGTGCTGGGCTTCACCCCTGGCCGGGCTTCACCCCTGGCCAGGCACCCCCGCACAGGCGGAAAGCAGGTGGTTAGGAGACCACTGGCAAAGTAAAGCTTTGGGTTTTTCATTCTCAGTCGTGTGTTTCCATGAAAACAGGAACTGAGGTGCACAAAGCTATTGATAGGTCTGTAGTCATGTGTTTGTCAGAGAAAATGCACTATCAGCTGTCAAATCTATCTCCTCCCACTGCAGGGGGTGAGGGGCGGGGAGGCGCGCAGGAGGTGGAAAGGCGAGATGCCCAAGCAGCCAGAAGCAGGGATGAGTGGGACCTCACCTGGCGGGAGGGCTCCGGAGCAGGCGCGAGGGGCGCTGGCAGCACAGAGCAAGCGGAGGGCCCCGGGCAGCACCCGGAGCCGGCGGGGACCGGGCTGCGGAAGACGGGGCTCTGCCAATACCTTCTCTGCTGCCGTAGGAAGTCTCTTAGACAAAATGAAAGCTCCCTCAACCCGTAATCTCAATATCTGTTTTTGTGAGACTATTTGTTTTTCGGAAAGGTACGGGCCAGGAAGCGCTCTCCTTGTGCCAGGGCCTCCGTGTGCCAGGGGCCAGGCCGGGGCTGGGCAAATCCCGATCGGGATCTCCATTAGGATGACAGAATCCACCGTCCCTATCAGACATCTTCTACATCAGATGTGACCAGAGACACTTGAGAGTAAAGATCAGAATTCTCATTCTTTGAAAACATTTAACACCTTATAGTTAATTTGGGCCTGTTCGCTTTCGTTAAAAAAAAAAAAAAAAAAAGTTTCTTGTTCAAACACTTGGAGATGGCTCTCCCGTCCCAAGTCACCGTCTGCCGAGCAGACCCCCCGGGCAGTTCTTACCTGCGGGGCCGCCAGGACGTCTGCTACGGTCAGCTCCATGCACTGTGGGTCCTTGGCCTGGCAAGAACGAGAGAGTGAGAGATAGTTACTGATCCTTGCCACGCAGCTCCCACTCCCTCAGACTGAGAGAACTTCCCACAGCCCCTCAGAAAAGGGCCAGAGAGAAGTCTACCCCCCATCAACCCACTCCCGACTTCTCCGGGAGCTGTTCCCTCCGTCTCAGAGTCTAAGAAGTACGCCCGGCATCCCACCGGGAGAGATGGTGCCAGATAGCTCACTCACCTTTTTCGCTGTGAGGAAGTTCAGCATTTCGATGGTCTCTTGTAAGGTGAGGCTGTGCTTGTGTCCGTGGGTGAAGTTGCTGGTCCATGCTAGTAAGCAGACCAGAGCCGGAATCAGCTGGGACGGGAGACCCATTAATGGATCTCTCTTTGCAATGACAGAGTGAGACAATTGGCTTACCAGGAGAAGCTGGCAATGCAATTCTGACAACGATATCTCTATATATAGATTGAAAAATTGCTGAAACCGAGGGAAAATGAATTTACATTGGAAATTTTCATTACACCAGGTTGGGGCCAATCAGCGCGTCTCTTCCAGAAAGAAAAATATGCCTCACAGAAACAGGTAACATGTTCCTGTGAAATCAGACCAATAGGAAAATGAAACCCTTTTTTTAAAATTAACTACAAAGTATCAGCATAGGAAATTACACCATAATTTGTTCTTTAGATTAATCTTATCAGCTTGGGGTTGCTGCCGGCTTTCTGCTTTGAAGGAAGAGGCCACAGGTGTCCGAGTCTGTTGCAGTGCAATGCTCCTGGGGAAAGATAGAGTAATATCAAGAAAGTTTGACTTGCATGGTATTTCAACCTGGCTTTTTCCAAGTATGGGTGGCATCTTGGAAACTTTTCTTTTGTGGAAAAGCTGATGTGGGGCTTCTTGGTCTGGGTAGAAGGAAAGTGACGAGCACAGATTATCTCCTGTCCTGGCACCGGGGCCTGCCATTCTCCAGGTAAAGGACAGGTGGCACCAGGGGGGCTTAGTTTGGGTCACCGCAGATGCATATCTTTAATTTTTTTAAATATATTTTTATTGATTTCAGAGAGGAAGGGAGAGGGGGAAGGAGATAGAAACATCAATGATGAGAGAGAATCATGAATTGGCTGCCTCCTGCAGACCCCCTACTGGGGATTTACCCACAATCCAGGGGCATGTGCCATTGACTGGAATTGAACCGGGGGCCCCTCCGGTTGAGCCAGACTGGCTAGGGCTGCGTAGTCTCTAATAAGGAGGCGCTAGGCATGTTAGGTCTGTCAGGAATGAATGACTGCTCTCTAATGGAACTTAAATGCATCTTCAGGTAATTGGGCAAAACCGTCCTGATTTACAAATGAAACGTCTTGTCCCGCCACCCACCTGCTGCTTTAGTGCGGCTCCCCGGACCGGTGAGGCGCTGAGCAGCCCACGTTCACGCTGCAGCCGGGCTGCTGTGCCCCCGCAAGCATGCTTTTCCCTCCCCGAGCCTTCCTGTTCTCTCCCGGCCCCAGCCCGCCCCTTGTTGTCTTCTTGGCTGACTGGCTCTCCTCTGGGGCAGTGGTCGGCAAACTCATCAGTCAGCAGAGCCAAATATCAACAGTACAATGACTGACATTTCTTTTGGGAGCCAAATTTTTTAAACTTGAACTTCTTCTAACGCCACTTCTTCAAAATAGACTCGTCCAGGCCGAGGTATTTTGTGGAAGAGCCACACTCAAGGGTACAAAGAGCTGCATGTGGCTCGCAAGCAGCAGTTTGCCGACCACGGCTCTGGAGGCTCACAGGGAGCGGTTACTGCGGAGGCCACTCCTATGCTCGGATGCTCGGATCTCCTCGCAGCGCCCTGCGCTGGGGGGGAGAGGGCGCGGGTCCCTGTACCAGGCCCCTCGGCCGCATTTAGGGCGCTTCCCTCGGGATGTGCAACACGTCTGCCAAACCCAAGGCAGTAGCTTCTGATACCAACTACGTGGAGTTGGGCAGCAGGTGGCAGCGCGACGGGCACAGCCTCTACAAGCCTGCCCTCACTCAGCGGCTGCGAATCGGAATTTTAGTCCACGCGCACTGCAGGTCCCAGAGTCCCCTTATGCCCTCAGATTCAATAATTTGCTAGCATGACCCCTACGACTCGGGAAAGTGCTGCACATTTTTGTCAGAGCGGAAGGATACCAATCAGACAATCAGGCAGTGAGATCTAAAGGATTCCAAGCACAAAGCCCCCGTGCAGTGGCCACCCCAGCACCCGATGTGAGCAGGGCAGTTCACTAGCTTCCGTGCCCAGAGTTCTGGGGTGCATTCACTCAGTTGCTTGATTGATTGAATCACTCAGTTGACCTCATCCTCCACCCCTTCCCTGGAGGCTTGCTGACATCACAGTAGCTTAATAGTGTGGCTGCCCCCACCCCCCCTTGAGCTGCCTTATTAGCATAAAGGATCAGAGCTCACTGCGAATGGCCAAGACTCCTATCACTTGAGAAATTCCTAGGGTTTAGGGGCTACCTCTCAGGAACTAATGACAAAACACAGCCAAATTCTTCATTGCAGGAGTTTAGAGGTTATCTTCCAAGAGGGGAACAATGATCAGACTTCTTTGGGTACATTCTTTCTTTCCTTATTTGTTTTTAAAAATATATTTTATTGATTTTTTACAGAGAAGAAGGAAGAGGGATAGAGAGTTAGAAACATCGATGAGAGAGAATCATCGATCAGCTGCCTCTTGCACACCCCCTACTGGGGATGTGTCCTCAACCACAGTACATGCCCTTGACCGGAATTGAACCTGGGACCTTTCAGTTCACAGGCCGACGCTCTATCCATTGAGCCAAACCGGTTTCGGCTTTGGGTACATTCTTTAAAAAAAATAAAAAGGTATTTCTCTTTTTTCTTCCACTTTTATTGAGATATAATTACACACAGTGTTGTTTAAGTTTGATGTGTGTATACAGCATAATGATTTGACATACATATCATAAGATGCTTAACACAAGTTAACATCTGTCATCTCATATAGATACAACAAAAAAGGAAAAGAAAAAATGTGTCTTTTTGTATGATGAGAAGTCTTAGGGCTTCATCTCTTAGCCACGTCCACATATACTGTACAGCCGTGTTCTCAATAGTCATGTTGCACGTGACATCCCAGTATTTTATCTCATAACTGAAAGCTTGTGCCTTCTGATCACCTTCATCCACGGCCCCTCCTTCCACCTCACACCTCTGGCAAACATAAAGCTGATCTTTTCCCCTATGAGTTTGGTTTGTCTGTTTGCTTGTTTTTAGATTCCACCTATAAGTGAGATCATATGGTATTTGTCTTTCTCTGTCTTATTTCACTTAGCATCATGTCCTCTAGGTCCATCCATGTTGCCACAAATGGCTGGATTGCCTTCCTTTTTATGACTGAATAGTATATTCTTGTGTGTGTGTGTGTGTGTGTGTGTGTGTGTGACATTTTCTTTATCCATTTATCTATAGATGGACACTTAGGTTGTTTCCATGTCTTGGCTATTGTAAATAATGCTGCAGTGACCATGGGATGCAGATATCTTTCACACACACACACACACACACACACACACACACTAGAGGCCTGGTTCACGACGTTCATGCATGGGTAGGGTCCCTGAGTCTGGCTGGCGATCAGGGCCGATCTGTGGGGCAATCAGTGGGGTGATCGTGGGAACTGTGGGCAGCTCCTGTGTTGAGTGTCTGGCCCCTGGTGGTCAGTGCACATCATAGTGACCAATTGTTCTGCCATTTGGTTGATTTGCATATTAGGCTTTTATTATATAGGATGTGTGTGTGTGTGTGTGTGTGTGTGTGTGGTATATATATACACTAGTATATCATATATATTATATAGTATCCAGTGTTTCCCAAACTTTTGACATATGTGTACCCCTTCTATAATTTTCGTAATGCTGAGTACCCCTCGTACTCATGAGAACGTAGAATTAGGCGCAGCTAAGCACAGTGCAGTGCATACCCCCACCAAACTCCGGTGCAATGCGTACCCCCACCAAACTCTTCCCGTACCCCTGGGGGGACACATACCACACTTTGGGAAACACTGAATATATATATATTTCAGGGAGGAAAAGGAGAGGGAGAGAGAGATTGAAACATCAATGCTAAGAGAGAACCATTGATTGGCTTCTTCCTGCACGCCCCCTATTGGGAACTGGGCATGTGCCCTTGACTGGAATTAAACCTGGAACCTTTTGTGTTTTTGTTTCCATTGGATAAACAAGGAAGTGGAGTTGTTGGATCATATAGCAGTTCTATTTTTAATTTCTTTTTTGAGGGGAAACCTCCATACCGTTTCCACAGTGGCTGCTCCAATTTGAAATCCCACCAACAGTGCACAAGGTTCCCTTTCCTCATGTCACCTCCAGCGCGCGTTATCCTGATTTTAACGATGGTCATTCTGGCAGGTGTGCGGTGCTATCTCACTGTGGGTCTGATCTGCCTTTCTCTGCTGATTAGCGATGTTGAGGACTTTTCATGGACCTCTTGGCCATCTGCATGCCTTCTATGGAAAAAGGTCTATTCAGGGTCTCTGCCCATTTTTAAATGGGGTTACTTGCTTTTCTGCTGGAGTAAGTTAGTCCGTCACTACATAGACAAGTGGAGTTTCTGAGGCGGACAGACAGTTCCTTCCAGAGCAGGTGGAGACCTCAAGAGAAATTATTATTTGGAGTAAAATGGTGGCTACTCCTTTATTGAGAAAAGGTTCAGGTTAAATAGGAGGGAACTTGGGAGTGCAGATGCACTGGAGGGGAGTCCGGGCAGTGTGCACCCCGCAAAGCCTTGGGGTGCTGGTGGCGGGTCAGCGGGCTTCGCTGAGGAGTGCATGAGGCACAGAAAAGCACCGTGTGTTCAGCTGTGGTTCTGTGAGCGCCCCACCTCTGAGGGCCAGACCCGGGCTTGGGCTCCGGGCACAAACGTGGGTCAGAAAAGGGACAGAAATGGGAACCAGTAGCTCAGAAGCAGAATGCAGCTTCGGTTTTGGATTTCCACTGGTTGGGCAAGGCCAGGGGAAAAGACTTAACTTTCCCGAACAGGGGAGTGACCAGAGGTGACCAGAGTGACCAGAGGAAGTGGAAAAAGAACTGTGGCCGGAAGGCGGGGCCTGCGGGGTCCGGGCGGGCAGATTGAAGACGCTCTTCCCTTTCCCCTTCCTGAGAGCAGATGACAAGGTTCCCCTCCCCTCCGTGGTCTCAGGGCTTTCAGTCCAGGCCCTGGGCCGCACCAGTTACCAGCACTGGGGTTTAGAGTTTAGCAAACAGGCCACGTGTCTATCCTGTGATGGTGGGCAGGCCACTGGCTCTCTGGGGCTCAGTTTCCTCACCTGTGAGGTGGGAATAGTGTGTGTCCTTGTGGGACTCCCCTGAGGAGCGAGCTAGAGACTCCACGGCAAGCGCAGGCCGCTCTGCTGGCCGCTGTGTGACGGCCAGGGAGGTGACCCCGGC